TTTTTTGATCAAGGCTGGAGCTCTACCATTTGAGTCAAAGCTCCACTTTTGGACTTTTTTTTCCTAGTGGCTAATTGATGATTAGAGTCTCAGATTTTTTTGTCTGGCTAGCTTCAAGCCTCAATCCTCAGATTTAAGTCTCCTGAGTAACTAGGACTATAGGAGTGAGCCACTGGCACCTGCCTCAAATGGCAGTTTTGAGTTTCAGTATGCTGTGTGTGTGTATGTGTGTGTGTGTGTGTGTGTGTGTGTGTGTGTGTGTGTGTGTGTGTGTGTAAGATCCTTTATTCCTATCAGTTTCCGTTCCTTTCCCGGCAATGATCCCACTGGTCCCCTCCCAGATGGCCCCCTTTTACATTCATGTCCCATTACCATTCCCAGTCATCATTATCATCAAAATGATTGTCATTATTTTAGGTCTCTACCACTGGAGCCATACCAGTAGCCCCACATTTTGCTCATCATTTTGGAAATAGTTTGATAAATTTTTTTTTGCCCCAGCTGATGAAACATGATCCTTTATATCTTATTCAGAGTAGCTAAAATTACAGGCATGAACCACTGGTGCCCAGCTTTTGTACTATTCTGTATTACTTCTTTCTGTCTACCAGTTTTGGATTTGGCTTGTTTTTGTTTTTCTTGGAGCTGGAGGTGCATCATTATATTATGAATTTGAGATCTCCTTATATATAGGTGCTCATAACTAAACATTTGTCTAAAGATTCTGATAAGGTATATTTTCATTTCCATTAACTCCAAAGAACTTTTGGGTATCCCTCTTATTTCTACTATAACCCACTCATTATTTAACAAACTGTTTTTCAGTCTCTATGAGTTGAGTATATATTGTGATTTCTTCTGTTGTTGAATTCCAGTTTTATCCCATTGTGGTCAAATAAAATACAAGGAGTAATTTCAATTTTCTTATGTTTACTGAGACATGCTTTATCTCTTAAAATGTGATCTATGTTGTAGAAAGTTCTATAGACTGCCGAGAATATGTATTATTCAACTGTTACATGGAATTGTCTGTAGATGCTTGTTAAGTCCAATTGCTGATTTTTTGTCTAGACAACATGTCCAGTGATGGGAATGAGGTACTGAAGTCTGTCACTATCATTGTGTTGGAGTTTAGCTGTGCTTTTAAGTCCAGTGTTTGTTTAATGAAGTTGGGTGCATTTTGGAGCATGAACGAGAACAATTCTTATGTTCTCTTGATGGATAATTCCTTTATTAGTGTGAAGTGATCTTTGTCTTTTCTGACTAATTTTTTAAAATATATTTTTATTCTTATTTTAAATGTGATATACAGAGGGATTACAGTTACATAAATCAGGTAATGAGTACATTTCTTTTTAAACAGTGTCACCTTTTCCCTTGTTTTTTTTTTTTTTTTTCCCAAATTAGCCTTCCTGATTCCCCTCTCCAACAAGGTGTACACTTAATTTTCAACATAGTGTCTAGTGAGTGTCACTGTTGCATTTGTTCACCCTTTGTACCACCATGTCTGTGACCCCACTTACCCTCCCCCAAATGGGTAGACTTACATACAAACAAAAGGTAGAGAAATAAAAAACAGCAACAACAACAATAAAAACAGCAACAAAGGAGAAAAAAAAGCAAACAAAAAGCAAAATAACAAAAACCCTTGTTTCCAATTCTTGGAGTTTATTTCAGTAAACATTTTATATGATCATATGCCCATAACTATTGAGCATTTGTGATCCTCTCTTAAGAATATCCTCCTTCAGTCTCACTGTGTGAATGTCTAGAGCCCTGTTTAATTCATCATGTTTAAGTGCATTGTTTTTTGTCTTTTACTATCCAGTGTGTTTACTTATCGATTTATAGGCACTTTCTAGTTACAATAAATGAGGGAAACCATGCAACCTATGTTTCTTTGGGTCTGGCTTACTTAATATAATTTTTTCCAAGTCTTTCTATGTCCGTATGAATGATACAATATCATTCTTTCTGAGGGATGAATAGATTTCCATTGTGTGTTTCTACCACACTTTCTTGACCCATTCATTCACTGAGGGGCATCTGGGTTGATTCCATTATCTTGACCATGGTAAATAATGCTGCAATAAATGTGGTTGTGTTGGTAGCGTTAGTATGGCATTGCTTGTGGTCTTTTGGGTAAATGCCCAGGAGTGGAATTGCTGGGTCCTAGAGAAGCTCTATTTTCAGTCATTTGAGGAGTCTCCATACTGCTTTCCAGAGTGATTAAACAAGTTTACATTCCCACCAACAGTGTAGTAGCATTCCTTTTTGGCCACATCCCCACCAGCATCTATTATTATTAGTTTTCTTGATAATGGACATTCTAATTGGGGTGAGGTGGAATCTGAATGTAGTTTTGGTTTGCATTTCTTTTATGGCCAGAGATGTTGAACATTTCATGTGTCTATTGGCCAGTCTTACTTCTGAGAAGTTTCTCTTTAAGTCATTAGCCCATTTGTTAACTGGGTTGTTGTTTGTTTAAGGCTTTATTTTGGAAGGGGGAATTACTTTTTTGAGCCTTAGGTGTATTTTGAATATGAGGCCATTGTCTTAGGAGCCCGTCATGTGTGTTTCCCTTCAGTCAGCTTCTCTTTTTCTACCAGGTGTCCTTTATGGGCAGCTGTGTTGTTTACTTGTATCCACTGGACTTCCACATCAGGGTCTTTTTTTGTTTGTTCATTTTTTTCGGGTCGGGGGGTTGGTCAGGCTTGAACTCGGGGCCTCTTTGTTCTCAAGGCTAGCGCTCTATCATTTGAGCCACAACTCCACTTCTGGTTTTTGAGTTGCACATCAGTCTTATTACATTGTTTCCTTTATGATCTAAAGTTTGGTGGTTTTTTATTTTCTCTGATTGCTTCCTCTGAGCACTGCTGAGAAGCCATGGCATGGTTTCAAGCAGAGGATAATATAATCAGATTTGAGATTTGAAAAGATTAACTTTTGCCATAGTTTGGAAGATGGATCAAAGGCAGAGATGCAGGGAAACCAGCTGGAAGGCTACTGCAGAAGCCCACTTGAGAGATGCTGGCTGTTTGATTGAGAGTTTGGATGTTAGAAATGGACAGAATTGGATGAATTTGAGGCGAAGCAGATTCTAGCTATTTGGAAACTGGAAGGGAGAAAGAGGAAGAAGATAAGAATATCGGCTTTATTTCTGATTTGTAGCATTGAATATACTGGTAGTAGCTTTCTCTGGGTCAGCAGACAGTGGCTGAGGATCAAACTTGGCAGAAGTAAGTTTTGCTCTTACAAAAGGTTACATTTGAGATCCTTTGATATTTACAAGTGTAAATGTCAATTAGATAGATATCTGTGAAAAGTTCAGAGATGCTATCTAGGATAAAGAGAAAAGCAGGAATTGTGTGTATGTGGCTGATGTGGTACTGTGTGACTGTGACATTAGGCAGGGGGAGATACTGTGCACAGAAGGAAGGAGGCTGTATTTATTCCTCTATCAAGTTAGATTATTTATCAAGATACAAAGTAGCAAATTACATTAGCTTAACTTGGAGTAAAAATTGTTTTGTCAAAATATTCTCACCTATCAAAAGACCATGTGAAAATTATTTGAAAAAGTTTTTTGTATCTTTTGAAAATTGTTTTCAAAAGCATTGAACATATAATTTATTATAATGGTAAAAATGTATATATAAAGGTTTTCTCAAAAACATTCTCTTAATATTAGCAAAAAGTCCTATCGATGAATTGATGAGTTTCATTTTATGGACAGAGAAACTATATAACCTTATATTAACTTAATGTTTGTATATATTAACTTAATGTATGCTAAACCTATATCTAAAAATATTTAATCTAAATGTAACCAGAAATTCAGACTTGCATTAATCAGAGGGATTAAACTAATTTATTCCCTGCTGCCTTCATATAGGTTTTGGCTAATGTTATTTCTATAAGTGTCACTGACTTCAGGTATTATGTAGTTTATGAGCTTGATGTAGAAAATTACTCACATTATTTTCAGAATGTAAAAAGCACTGACAGTTGCTATATGAAAGTGAATAAACAAGTATAACAATGGTCCATACACTCATCAATAATTTTGATGGGAAGTCAGGCATAAAAAATTCAAATGTGGCTCAATCACATGCTAGCAATGTTAACATATCTACAAATGGTCAATACCTTCCTTATGGGGTGGCTTTAGAGAATAAATGTGATAAAACACACAAAGTATCTACTATACTTGTATAGTAGGGGCTTAACTGGCTTTTGGTTTGTTCGTTTTACTGGTGTCCTCAAAACTTCAAATTATGCTTTTATGAAAGGATTTGTTTAGAAGGTAATACTCAAATTTTTGGTCATATCTTTGCCTCGGTTATACAGGCACTGACTATCACATTTGAAGCTGAATTTCTAATGCTTTTACATTCATTAGCATGTGGTCTATACCCAAGTCATGCTGTTGAATGAATGAGTGGCAAATGCATGGGGGAATGAATGGTACATAGTCCTGGATTGTGTCCATCTTTCTCTGTCATTCATTCTCCTACCTTCATTTCAGTAACAATCTAATTCTTCCCAGTCCTTTGGAAACCATCTTATCCCACCTCCATGATGATGCTTCTTATAATTATAATGTGCACATATTGGTCACTTGTCTTCTACAATTTTTCTACAAAAATGTTTGCTGGGCACTAGTGGGTCATGCCTATTATCCTAGCTACTCAGGAGGATGAGGTCTGAGGATTGTGATTCAAAGCCAGCCAGGGCAGGAAAGTCCATGAGACTCTTCTCTCCAATGAACCATCAAAGAGCTACAAGTGGATGGTAACTCAAGTGGTAGAGCACTAACCTTAAGCAAAATTAAGGCTCAGGGGCAATACCCAGGCCCCGAATTCAAGCCCCAGGATCAATACCATGAAAAATAAAAAAATTGTATTAACTTTGCCTCAAGCCCCATAGCAAACATACTTAATTTCACTGATATTTAAAAGACTCTGGCCTTTTAATGATACCTTGTTTTTTCTCTGAAGGAGCCCTGTACCCAGATGGAACATCTGGAAGGAACAAGGATGATGACATGGTTCCTCCTGGCAAGAACTATACCTATGTGTGGCCAGTGAGAGAAGAATATGCACCTGCTCCTGCAGATGCCAACTGCCTGACTTGGGTATACCATTCTCACATTGACGCTCCCAAGGACATCTGCTCTGGGCTCATTGGACCTCTGCTAGTATGTAAAGAAGGTAAGGTGCATCCCCACTCCCAAAAGCCTCTTCCCAGGTAACTCATGTGTAGCAAGTAAATAAGATTCCGGTCCAGTTTGGCTTACTTTCCTTGTTCCACACAGACTGTGCCTCTTCCTTTAAACTTTCTTTAACATACTGGAAATTGCTGTAGCACGGAAGTATGGTCTAACATCATAGCACAGGGAAATATTTTATATTCTGCTTAAGAATCCTAGGAGCATTCTGAAATGAATCTGATTCATATTTATAAAATAACATTCCATAAGCGTGAAAATTTTCATCAAATGACCTGAGACAACTTCTGCTTCATTATTACACATAGGTAATGTTTGCTATTTAACTTCTTGTTAACTGACTTAATGTGTCTATATTGTCAGTAAAATCTACCTACCTAAAGGACAGCTAGCTTTCCTAGGCTACAGTTGTGAATATTTATTTTTTATGACTTTTCTGTTGTTCTTTGAGGGGATTGTAGATTATCCAACTATGTTTAGCCCTTTGACAAACTTCAGATCAACCAAACACCATTGGTAAGAAGGAAAGCTCATTTTAATTTATTTCACCTTGAACTTTTGTTTTAATCTGCCCTCTGAACTCATCCTGTAGGTATGCTGAACAGGTACTCAGGCACAAGGACTGATGTGGATCGAGAATTTGTTATAATGTTCACTCTTGTGGATGAGAATCAAAGCTGGTACCTTGATGAAAATATAAGACATTTCTGCACAGACCCTGATTCTGTTGACAAGAAGGATGCTGTTTTCCAGAGAAGCAATAAAATGCATGGTGAGTATAAGGTAAATTTAAGTAGGTAGCCAGTGGATGAGAACAACACGTGGCATTCAGGCAAGAAAGAGAGGTTTATTTTATTTCCAAACAGTGTGCCCACCGTGCATGGTGGATATGCACATGGCCTAAAAGGGGCGAGCCCTCCTACCCCCCCAGGATTTATCTAGGCCAGGGCCTGCACCAGATTCGAATATGACCTTGGAGCCTTGGACCCTCCCACAGTCCAATGGGAGGAGGAGGTGGTCCAGGATGTGACCTCAGAGGAGGGGGAGGGGATTGCCTCCAGGTGTGCCAGTTACTTAGGTAATGCAGGTACTGGGTGGAGATTAGCCAAGAGGAAGGAAGAGTCTGCCCATCCCTCCTGGAGTGGACCTTGCAGTGACTGTCTCTTATGCTCTCAAATGTACTAGTGTCTCCTAAACTATGGGATACTTCAGGAAGGTATGCTAAGCCTTGTTTTGCAAGATATATAAATAGTGATGACAGTGGTTTGAAGTAATATGAATAAGGTATAATACATGTTGGAGCCTAAACAACCTGCAACACAATAGACACAAGCTAAATTGAGTATGATGGACATGGTTGTGGTACAGAAATGGAAGGATCAGTGTCATAATCAGCAAAGACTTGATGAGTAAAGTAATCCCAGAGACTTAATGGGATTAGATTGACATAAAAGAGGATGGAGTCACTATCACCTAATAATTGTTTTGTACCTCTTGCCTTATTCAGCAACTATTTTGTGAGTGGCTGCCAACTTTTAAGAACTATGCTATGCATAAGGATTAAAGGGGCACTTGTGAATTTGTAATGCTATCTTCTTTTAGCCAAGTTTTATTGAGCAACCAATGTACACCAGACCTTAGTATTTGTTTGAATATTTTTGTTCAAACTATTTATAGTTATCCTTGTAGTTCAGACAGAAAGCTTACCTGTGATTGTTCTTCACAATGGTGGCTTACTGCAGCATTTTTAGGATGTGAGGACTAAGCTGTCTCTTTCTACTGTTTGGCTAGAGAACTTTAGAGGACATAAAGGAAATCTTTAATGTAAACACCTATCTTCATTCATTGTGAAATCCTGTTTCTTAGAATCGCCCTGAGGCAGCCTCTGTGTTGCCATAGAATCCCATAAAGAAGGAGAGGAGTTGTAGATTCTCCTCTTGCCTCATTTAATAAAAATTACTGTGAACAGTTTTTTTAATTTTAATTTTATTGTAAAGATGCTATACAGAGGCGTTACAGTTACATGAGTAAGGTAATAAGTACATTTCTTGTTGAGCATTACACTGCATTTTAAGGAAAGACAGCATGTGTGCATAAGTAAGTGTTTGCAGGCAATCACTCCTTCTTTGAGACTGGCAAATGAGAACTTGCCAACTACAAGGGGGAAAAAAACCCTAGTTAATCAACACAAACCTATTGCTCAATTTATTCAACTCTACCAAAATGGCTTAGATTGATTGTGCTGCCTACATCATTATTATCTTAGTAGCAATAGCTTTAAAAAGCTTAGTTGGAATTTAATCAAGTCTTGGTAAAGTTGTGGCTGCCATTTAGATGACAGCTCTGTGTGTGTGTGTGTGTGTGTGTGTGTGTGTGTACACGCACGTACTGAGGCTTGCACTCAGGGTCTACATGCTGTCCCTTAACTTTTTCTCTCAAGACCAGTACTCTACTACTTGTGTCACAGCTCCACTCTTGGCTTTTAAATGTTTAATTGGAAATAAGGGTCTCATGGATTTCTCTGCTTCGGCTGGCTTCAAACCTCAGTCATCAAATCTGAGCTTTCTGAGCAGCTAGGATTACAGGCATAAGCTACTAGCCCCCTGGACCTCCCTGCTTTTTAAAGTAACAAAATAAAAATATGTCTCATAAGTATCCTTAAATCAACTCCTTTACTTTTCACCCTGTTGCATGCTTGTGTTACCTAATTAAGTAGATGCTACCTGTCAGAGTTTCTGCTGGATCCTGATGACATGAGCAAGACATGTTTCCAGCTCAAGGGAGCAGGAAGGAAGTGTGATGTGGGTGGTATGGTAGATATACAAAACAAATGAAGGATTTGAATAGAAGGTGATTGAGTCACTCTGGAAGTGCATCAGCTCAGTCTATACCTTAATACACCTTCTTACACATGACTGCTCACTGTAGCGCTAAGACTGTGTACAATGTATACTGATTTCTTCTTCTGCCTCTTCCTCTTCTTTGTTTTGTTCAGGCTTTTTCTTTTTCTTTTTAAAAAATTTCTGAAGCAGTTCCTCACTATATAGCTAAGGCTGGAGTCCTCCTGCTTCTGTCTCCGGAGTGGGGGATTACAAGTGTGTGCTTGATCTTCACTTGTGTTGATTTCTTTTCCTTAAAATAGACAAAACTTTCCATTCCTTTGTGAGATAATAATACATAAGTATTAAGGGCCAGAATTTCTCCATAAAGCATTACAACCAATGATGTGTTGGTCTTGTTTGCCTTTGTACGGGAGTCTTTTCCACTAGTGCATTTCTATTTTCAGCCCTCAATGGATTCCTCTTTGGAAATTTCCCTGAACCTGACATGTGTGTTGGTGAATCTGTGTCCTGGCACTTGTTTGGAATGGGGAATGAGATAGACATCCATTCCATCTACTTTTATGGTAACACCTTCATCAGCAGAGGGCATCGGACAGATGTTGTCAACCTGTTCCCAGCCACCTTCCTGACAACAGAAATGATAGTTGAAAATCCTGGGAAATGGATGATAACATGCCAAGTCAGCGACCACCTACAAGGTAAAAAAGGACAAAGGCCATGCTATGTGCACAGAACGGTGCGACAAAACTACATAGTCACTGCTGCTTGCCCAATGCTTTCTGATAGGTGGATTCTTATATGTATTATAGTTACTTAAATATTAAATACATAAAAGCATACTGCATTCTTTTAATTAAAATACTGCTCTCAGTCATTTATTAATCATGTCTCTGTGAACAAGGAGATGATTGAAAAAAATGGATGAGACTTTCAAAAGGACTTATAGTCTAGCAGCAAGGCACAGTTTGACGTTTACAAAATGAGTAAAATGTGAGGCCAGATTTTGTGGATGCTGTACTCACTATTCCAGAACAACCCAGGGACTTCCTCAGGAGATTGCTCCTAAACCAAATCTTGAAATGTGGGTAGGAAGTGAATAGAGGAAGAAGGAAAGAAAGCAAACCTTCCTTAAAACTGAGAAAAGTATATGTTTCTTCCCATGACTGGAAAGATTAAGTAAAATTTTAGCACTGAAAAAGACTTTCTAGATAATCAGGATCAAATCTCCAGCCAATTTTTGAATTTCTTTTGAATATCTCTGTTAAGTGATTGTATCAGCTTATGTCATCTCTAGACTGCTCTATTGGAATGTTCTTCCTTAAATCAAGACAAAACCCATTGATAATGAACAGTCCTCTTGCCTACAAAAGGCATTTGTTAACTGCCTGCCGAATGACATGGTTCTGGTTCCTTAAGACAACACGGAATAAATCCTTATTTATCTGGACCAAAAGATAGGTTCATGCTAGAGAAATAATGAGAGAGAAGCCTGAGGAGGCAGACGGAGCCCTTAAGTTTTTAACTCTCCATGATTCCTCCTTGGAAACTTCTCTGAAGCTGCCATTTGTATTGGTGGAATGGTGTTCATGACCAAGTGAAGGAGGCAGAGCTATGTGTGGAAGGCAGTTTTGAGTCCTGAATTCTTAGGCACACTAGTAACACACTATAGTCTTGGAAAGGTTAATATAACATATTTGCCCAGAAGGCCACTGGATGCTAGTTAAGAAGTACTAGAAGCATTCGAGCTATGGGATATAAAGGACTTGGCCTAAGATGATGCAAGCAGAAAGGGAAAAAGTGTCAGTGAGATTGAATGTTCACTTTAATAATAATCTGATTAACATCTAAATTTGATATGCAGGGATATTCAGGGATGCTTTGATAATATGGTTTTGTTCCTGTCAACTTTGTATAACAAATCTTAGTATTAGTTATTCCATTTAAATTAAATTCAACTTAAAAGTTAATCAGTTAATACCTACCAGGGAAGACAAAGTTGAACAAGATAAAGTTCTAATTTTTAATTAATTAATTATTACCAATATTAGAGCTGCAACCCTCTAGGTCTTAGCTTCCTAAGTAATTAGGATTACAGGCATGAGTCCCCAGTCCCCAACCAGGGTTAAATCTAAGAAGAAAATTCGTGACCTAAGCACTCCAAATCTAGACTTAAAATCAAGAAAACCATTTGAGATGAATAGTATTTCTGAGTTTGGCCAGTAGTTGTAAATGTAAATTGATGTTTATCCATTCACTGATATCCAGTATTGCCTAAATTTTCCATACCCCTAGGAAAGAAATATTATGGAATTTAGTAAATATAATCTGTAACCACATATGGAGATACTAGCATTGCGTTTTGATGAGTATGCACCCTATTTTCCATACCCTTATGTGACAGTGTGCATGATTTAAAGAATAAAATCAGTCTGCTACTAGTTCTCTGTCCTTTGCTCTTTCTACTTATTAACACATCAGAAGAATATTTTCATGTTAATGAAAATGATTGTCATAGGGAGACTGTACTTTATTTAACCAATACCCCAGTGCTTAACACTTACATTTTACTCCTTCTTTTTGGCTATTAGAAACAGTTCATAGTACATTTTCACTTTTCTCTGAATGTTTCCTTAGGAAAACTTCTTGATTTGGAATTCATGGATCAAAGTTTATTTTTTTAGAAAAAACCTCTATGGTCACACATTGCTAAATTATGTTTTTAGAAGTAGTTATTCCCCCAGCCATCATGTGTGAGCTCACCCCTCCTTCCGCTTGAATGTCAACACTGATAATTATTAGTCCTTTGTTTTCTTGAACTCTTTTTATTTGCTTTGACTGATGTGTCTTCTTTTATAAAACATTCATTTATGTCTTTGAACATAAATGTCTATCAAAGTGTGTTTTTCTTCTTTAGTTTTAGTTTTTTACTTAGCATATATTAGTTGTACAAAAGTGCTTCATTGTGGTATTACCATGATGCATAAAATGGACTTTGATCAAATTGACCTCCTTTATTACTCTTTGATGCTTTTATAAATTTAATGGGTTTTATTATTTTACTTTCATATATGCAGAGTAGTAAAACCACTGTCGCTGCCCCTCATACGTTCCTTCCGCCCTTCCAGTGATATTGAGGATCAAATTCATGGCCACATGCAAACACTTACCATTGAGCCACCTCCCTAGTGATTCACATATGCATCTTTTGTCATATATGTTACAAAATCTCTTCTCCTCACTATTATTCTTCATTTTTAACTTAACATGTAGTCTAATTTTCTGTATAAAAGTTTTAAGTGCTCTTCAGTATTTTCCTGAGTGTCATTTATTCTTGGCTTGTGTTACAGCTGGAATGTTAGGGCAATACAATGTTGGTAACTGCAAAAGTGATATTCCTCGCCCCAAGATGAATGGTCAACAGAGGCGCTACTTCATAGCAGCTGAAAAAGTTCTTTGGGATTATGGTCCTCAAGGGTATGACAAGTTAACTGGTCTTCCTCTGAATGCCTCCGGCAGGTATGTGCTTTTTTGCTGGTGTTTCTGAGCTCTTTGCAAGAGAGGCATGTAGTAAGATCTCCACACATGATCTTTCTTGTATTTCAGGCCCTACTCTGATGACCATATGCCACATAGATGACACAATGTCACTCTTCCTTTTTGTTTTATTTTTATTGTTATTATAAAGGTGTATACAGAGGGGTTACAGTTAGATAAGTCAGATAATGAGTACACTTCTTTTTGGACAATTTCAATGTCATTTCTTAAAAATTCTTAATATAAATACTGATGAGATTTGGCAGTGTTTATTTCCTTGGATTCATTTATTCTTTCATTAAACAAATGTTTGAGTACCCATTGTGTGCAAACTGGAATGCAAAGTGCCATTTGGAAAACTAAGAGGAAGGCCATTGCATGACTATTTTTCCATAGGAGAAACTCCTTTTCAGTGTAGATGAGCTTTTTTTTTTCAGGGAATTTTGATATTAATGATGTCCCATCTCTGTCCTTCACGAGTCCCTTTCCTCCCTGTCCAACAATGTCATTTTCCCCCCTTTAAGTTGTTAAGGGAAGCCTTCCCTGACTTCTGAATCACAAGTAATCACTTTTTCTTGGTTCCCATAGCATCTAGTATTTTTCAAATTGAATCTTGAAATTTATAATTTGATGTGAACTTCTGTGACTTGGAGATGCATATGTTGATGATGTCTATGAATGCATTAAAATGAACAATTGGATGCTAAGAATGATTACTATTCCCCAGCACTATTCAAGTCCTCTTTTTGTGACCAGTAATGACAACCTTTGCTTCAAGCATATATTTCATTCATCAATTCTGTTCATTCACACATATATACATGCATTCTTCCACCAAACTAATGCAGCTGAAACTTGCACAAAGAATTTGTGAGAACCATGCATAAAAATCTTTTCATGTCAATATTCTCTATTGGTGAGCATTTCTTTCTAAACAGAATAAGAAAAACAAACTTTTGTTATTATTGTTTTATTTATTTTCTGCGCTGGTCCTGGAGCTTTAACTTGGGGCCTGGGGGTTACCCTGAGCTTTTTGCTCAAGGCTAGTGCTCTACCACTTGAGCCACAGCTTCCATTTCCAGATTTTTCATGGTTAATTCTAGATAAGAGTCTCATGAACTTTCCTTCCCAGGCTGGCTTTGAACTGAGATCCTCAGATCTCAGCCTCCTAAATAGCTAGGATTGCAGGCATAAGCCACTGGAGCTTGGTGAGATTTAGCTTTTAAAACAATTCAGAAGCCTTCTGGAGTTCTGAAGTGCCTTCTAAAATATGAAAAATTAGAGTATATTCCACCAGTATTTAGTGTGGTATATGAAAGTACAATGAACTTGTGGCAGGAGAGATGCAATGCATCTAAGACAACATCCTCACCCTTATGTGGAGAAGGGGTGCAGAAACAACTTTACAAGTTATGAGTAGAGGTAGTTTCATGGCTGTTCAGAGATAACAAAGATAGTCATAGAGCACCGCACACAGGAAATAGGATTTAAGCAGGATCTTGTAGAATGACAGAATTTATATAAGTGAGTAGTGAAGGCTGGGAAAATTTAGATGCAGGGGTTAATGCACAGCACCTGCTATATGGGAGAGGTAGATTAGATCAGAAAGAATGTGGTGGTCATTTGCATAAAGGAATGAGCACTTGCATAGAACAATAGAAAGAATACTGGACATCAATCACAAAAGTTCTTTAATACTTTAAAACTTGGTTTGATTCGCAACTGGAAGCAATTGACACTTAAGGATAAATAAATAGTGCTGGTAACCTTTTGTGATATTAATGTTGTGTTAGTATGTATACTGAGAAAAAAATGAGTAAGCCGGAGTGAGATAAGGTGCAGAATATGCAATGAGGTGATGTGAGCCTCACCTGGGCTTTAGTATAAGGAAGACAAGAAGAGAAAAGATGCACAAAGTGTGTTGAAAAAGAAGTGTACAGAATTTACAAAGTGAAGATGAGTAAGCAAAGGGGATTAGATAGCAAAAGAAGAGAAAGACAATGCATGACTGTAGGAGTGGTATTTCCACAGGTGGAGATGAGGTGGTTGAGAACTAATGCTAGTCAGAAGTTATGTTATTATATCTCACAATTTTGAAATTTGATTTTTTATGATAACAGTTTATAGGTCCTTTCCATTAATTAAATGACTTAATTAACTAGGCACTCACTTAATCATGCCAGATAGCACATATCCTACAATCTGCAGAGCGTGTTCACATTGATATCAGCAAGAGATAGATGCTTGCTCAGCAGAGAAACCTGTTAGCTCTTTATTACTTTGTAGGACACAGTTCTGGGACCCCAACATTGGTAAGTAAGGAGTTTGCCTGTAACTTATTTGGTTGCTGAACTTCTGGGGAAGGGAGTACCATGTCCAAGAGAGAAATGAACTCGATCACTTCTGAAGACTTTTAAGGCTGGTCGACTCCTTGTGAACTTTGCTCAAGCCAGTGTGGATGTTCCTGGGGAGACTGGTGGGTGAGTGGGATAGAGGTTATCATTGAAGATCCATTGTTAATGTCTCCAGTGGATGTGGCAGGATGTGTTTTCAATCACATTCCAACATCATTTACAGCGACTCTGCACTCTACTTCACACAAGGAGAGCACAGAATAGGAGGGCAATATTGGAAGGCTCGGTATACAGAATATGTGGATGCAACTTTTACTCAAAGAAAAAGACCCTCCGGGATAGAAGGCCATCTTGGAATTCTTGGTACAGTAAAACAATCCTCGTGTTTGGAGAGACCATGCCTTACCGGGCATTGTTCATCTCCATAGAATGACTCCTCTGCTCGTACTTATTTCCTTTCCTCTCACCAACTTCATTCCCCTCTCAAAATTTTCTAGGTCCAGTCATAAAGGCAGAGGTGGGTGATACCCTGCTAGTGACCTTTGCCAACAAAGCTGACAAAGTCTACAGCATTCTACCCCATGGTGTGCTCTATGACAAGGCATCTGATGCAGCTCCAAACTTAGATGGTGAGTCTCAGCCTGAGCCTAGAGAAGAAACAGAGCAAATGAGGGAAGGACTGACAACTATACAGACTTGGTTCAAGTCCTGGTCCCTTCCCTTCCCAACTCTAAGTACTTAGGCAATGATTTCAACTTCCTGAACATTATTCTTCTCATCTATCCAATGCAGATAATAACATTCACATGATAAGGCACTGGAAAAGGATGGGGAGAATACAGAACAGGTTCCTCAATAGGTTCTTTGGAAATGGTCATTTCTTTCCTTTTCTCTTGGTAATGTAGTAAATTTAAAGTGAGCTTCTTCCATATCTCTAAAATGGAGAGTCTTTCTGCTGGAGGTTTTTCAAGATTCTGCTGGTAAGAATAGAAGGGGAAAGCTCATTTCCAGTGTTTCATTAACAAAATTATACACGTCGTTGTTCTATTTACTACTAGAACTGTTGATTGAAGGTTGGTATTATGGGCTGTATATTATCATATGCAGCCTTTCTCCCTCACAGAGCAGGGAGTGCAGGCTCTTTGCACACAGGAGGGCAGCTTCAGCTGGTGGCAGGAATATCCACCATTCAAGACAATGCTTCTGAGAAACTCCTGGGCCCTCAGTGCTGCCACCATGGCTGCAGCAGCCACCATGGCCTCCTGGGATTTTTCTTCATCCCCTAGATGGAGGCCCGGCCCAGTCAAGATTAGGTTTGGTGGTGCTGGTGAGAGGAAGGATAAAAGAATCTGTACGCTCCAATCTTCAGCCTCTCCTGATAAAACTGTGCTCTCTGTTTTTTAAAATCGAGATGCTCAGAATGACTTGTGGGGAGGGGAGGTGCCATAGAGAGAACACCAAGGCCAGCCAAATGTTTGTGTTTTTCATTTTTCAAGTCAGAAAACTTACTGGGCACATTTTTCCAAAACATGGAACAATATGCAAAGGGAATCTTTAGCCTGGTCCAGTAAGAGAGATACTGTTGTGGTTTTTGGCAGTACAATCAATGTGAATTAGTTGCACGGGCTTTCAAAGGAAACAGACTTGAGTTTGAATCCCTGCTCTGTCATTTATCAGCTTTGTAACCTTGAACATTCACTTACCTCTTCCAGCATATGGTTACTTAAATTAGTTACTAGTTCATGCTCCCAGGATTCAAAATCTTTAAAAATTAGTCTCTTGTTTAACATTTTGGGGTTGTTTCTTGCAAGGCTGAGTAAAACATATTTTACATTGAAGGCATTCAATGAGCCGGGCACTGGTGGCTCACACCTTTAATCCTAGCTACTCAGGAGGCTGAGATCTGGGGATCACAATTCAAAGCCAGCCAGGGAAGGAAAGTCCACGAGACTCTTATCTCCAATAAACCACTCAGAAAACTGGAAGTGGTGCTGTGGCTCAAGTGGTAGAGTGCTAGCCATGAGCTGAAGAGCTGAAGGACAGCGCCCAGGCTTAGTGTTCAAGACCCATGACAGACAAAAAAAAAAAAAGAAGGCATTCATTAAAGATGTCTCATATTTATTTAATTGCTAAATGGACTATATCACTCTTTCAATGTTGGCTAAGTCCAGTATTTGGGTATAAAACAGTATACACTCTACAAAGAAAACAGTGCTTTGAGTGAAGCTTCTACCTCATAAAACAACAGTGTGTTATAGGCATCATTGGCTCCCCTGGTGGGGTAAATACTAACTCTCCTGTAACATTTGCCAGCATTGGAGAGAAACATGGGGATGAGTCAGCCAAGCCTGGGCAGTGTTTGCTGTGGATTTGACAAACCATTTCATTTGTACCCTCAGGATTTCTGAAACCAGGTGCCCATGTCAAGCCTGGGGAAACCTTCACATACAGATGGATGGTGCCGGAAAGTGTCAGCCCCGCCGCAGGCGACCCCCCCTGCTTGACCTATCTTTACTTCTCAGCAGTTGAGGCAATCAAGGATACCAGTGCTGGGCTTGTAGGACCTCTGCTGGTGTGTAAAAGGGGTGCTCTCAATGCCGACGGCACACAGGTAGGTCATCAAATGTCACCAAGAGTTTACCGGGTAGTAGATGAGCCATGTGGCTACCGAGTAGCTAGTGATGAAGAGGCCCTGACAAAAACAGTAGCTCTTCTTTCCTCTTGAAATTGACTCCTACACAATGAGGAGCTTATTTATTTTTTTCTAAACTTTAGACCCAAATTTCCAAAGTAACCAAGGCCCACCCAGGATTGTTGCTTTTCTATTTCTTATAGCTGGGTTGAGTATACTTCATTCCCAGAATGAAGTACATATGACATCCCTATGAGACCTTACTAGAAAGATACATAAATACCTCTTCCCCTGCTCATCTTTTCACCTGCTAGAAGAGGCCTGAGTAGGTTTTTCCCTGCAAAAAGACTGATACAAAGTAGGTAGGTTACTTCTTGAAGTGAAAATAACTTTGGTAAAATGGATTTCTCTCTGAACAAAATTTCAGCTTTGGGGAGGTTTCAGGATTTTTTGTTCCTCGTGCATTATGTATAACTAATGTCACCATAAATAATATTTGGCTTAGGTAAAACAACAACTTCTACAGATACTTATAGAAAAAAAATCAAATTTTTCACTGAATGAATTCAACAGGGAAAAAAAATCAAAACTACGTTACAAATATTTTCCGGCACTTTATCTTTTTGGTTCAGGTATTTAATTCATAGGAAATAAGCTAGTGCACTGGGAAAAGACAGATGTGCAAAGTCACATGTTCTTCTGACCTACTACCATAGTAAATACATTCTGTATTACCTTATACTACTATTGAGGTATAGTACAAATACTCAAGAGTATTACACATGAAATAGACATTTCTAGGATTTTTCATTTTTGCAGAGAACTGGTAGACCAAGATGCCTGTGTCATCTAAGTCTAGAAATTCCTTTGAGTCCAGAACTAGGTCCTTACAATGCCAAATATTCTAAGACATCACAGCTTAGGTAAATTGCCTTACAATTTCTAATTGGTAAAATAAAGGTTTGAATGAATAGGTTTTCCTCTTTTTATAAATATACTTAATATCACATAGAGGTATTTTAAAATGCTGTGCTTTTCACTGCTAATCAGTGCAAGAAGGTAAGCCTCTAAATATGTGTTTGTAAGGAATTATTTACACACTTTCTTGCAGCTACCATAATTAACTTCCAGTTTTCAATGACGAGTTACAGGGGTTGCCAGCTTTGGCTGAACACTGTAATTATCTGGAAATTATGATTTAATTGGTCTACAACATCTGAATAAAGAATGTGTGAAAGATCCAACTCTTTTTTTTTTTTTTTTTTTTTTGGGTCCGGTTGTGGGGCCTGAACTCTGGGCCTGGGTGCTGTCCCTCAGCTCTTCAGCTCAAGGCTAGCGCTTTACCACTTGAGCCACAGCACCACTTCCGGCTTTTTTTTTCTTTTTGCTTATGTGGTGCTGGGGAATCGAACCCAGGGCCTTATGCATTGCAAGGCAAGCGCTCTACCACTGAGCCACCTTCCCAGCCCAGATCCAACTCTTTTATGGCCAACTTTGAGAAACCTTGTCAAATAAGAAGAATCATAATTACATTTCACGTAGCTCTCTGAAGACTCCAGAAGTGTCTGTAGAAGTTGTTGTTTTACCTAAGCCAAATATTATTTATGGTGAGATTAGTTATACATGATGCATGAGGAACAAAAAATCCTGAAACCTCCCCAAAGCTGAAATTTTGTTCAGAGAGAAATCCATTTTACCAGACAGAAAGTTATTTTCAATTCAAGAAGTAACCTACCTACTTTGTATCAGTCTTTCTGCAGGGAAAAACCTACTCAGGCCTCTTCTAGGCAAGTGAAAGGATGATCAGGGGAAGAGGTATTTATGCATCTTTCTAGTAAGGGTTTCATATGGATGCCATAGGCTATAGCCAGGTGATTTTTTTAGCTTCCCCTCCCTCCCCTTCCCTACTCTTCCTTTCCTTCTCCTCTCCTCCCCTCCTCTTCCCTCCCCTTCCCCAGTCTCCTCCAGTTCCCCTCCTCTCTCCCCTCTTCTCCAATTTCTCTCTCCCTCTTTCCCTCCCTCCCTTCCTCCCTTCTCCTTCCCTTTCTTCTTCTTCTCTCTCTCTGGATTAGAAGTCTGCAAAAGAAAAAAGAAGCAAACTGTGCATGCCTAAGGACATAGCAGAACACACCAAATTCCCCTAGTTGCTTTTGAACTTGGCTTTGTTGCATGATACCAAGGGAGAAGAGTGAAGGATTAGCTGAGCAGGCAGGCAGGCAAGGCATCACTGTAAGGACAGCAGCAGAATAAAAGGCAGCTTGGATGGGAAACATGTTTGAGACAGGAGGACATCTAGTGACAAAACGTGTATCAGCTATTTGGTGCAGCTTGAAAGAAAAGCATAATCATTAGTTGAGTGTACTGTGTAGTCAAATAAAATCCAATAAACTGTCTAGGAATATTCAACCTAGTAATTCATAGTCCTCTTCAACCCAAGTTAGCATAAAATAACCCTGTTTCCTAAGTTTTATGAATTCATTATTTTTCTCACAAATATATGTTGAGTGCCTGATTTTCCAGCCATTTTTCTTGGACCTGTGGGTACAGAGTGGAATCAAAAACTCTAAAATTGTCTCTCCCACATGCAGCCCATACTTCAGTGGAAAGCAGTTAAAAATAAGTTTATAAAATATAATGTCAGGTGGAGCTAAGTGCTTCAAGTACAACAAGACTAGGGTAAGATGAGTTTAGGGTGAGGCAGAAGGTGAAGGCTATGTAACATGAGGAGCGAGCTGGGGAGGAGATTTCTTTAGGAGGGGGACAGCATCTGAAAAGACCCCCAAAGCACGAATGAGGCTGGTGTGCTATTGATGGAAGAGCACAAAGGCAGAGTGTCTTCTGAAAGTGAGGAGGTGAGGAGCAGGAAATGAAGTCAGACAGAGAGGTTGAGGCCCGAGCATCGGAGGCCATACTCAGACGCTGTCAGAGAGGTCCAGCCTGTGAACAGGACTACACAGGGCAGAAAGCCTGCTGAGCAAGGATATCACACTTTGGAAGAAATTGAGAATGGTGTAAGGGAGACAACTGATAAGGATGCATTGTGCTCATAAATTGACATGTTGAATTGAAAGCCCGTTGTACAACTACTTAAAAATAATAATTAAAAAAGAGGAACAACAGAAAAGAAGTTTCATAGTAATGAATAGGACATAAAAAGAAAGACATGTTTCCTAGACATCATGTGAACCCACCCGAGTCAAGCTGAGAATCCTGATTTACAAAATGACTTGGTGAATCTGTAGCTTACATTGATCATCACTCATTTTGTCTTAAATTTGAAAGTTAAACATGCTATGAATTCTGCAAGCTGTATGTTTTGTGTATTTCTTTCTTTCTTCTCCATAGAAAGGAATAGACAAGGAATTTTACTTACTGTTCACAGTCTTTGATGAGAATCTGAGCAGGTATTTTGATGAAAACATTCAGAAGTTTACCTGGCATCCCTCCAGTGTTGACAAGGAAGAAAAAGAGTTTGTGAAATCCAACCGAATGCATGGTATGATAAATGAAAAGCATAATGGCATTTGAAATGTAAATAGTTGTGGTGTTTTAATTATCTTAATTTTTGTTTCTTGAGTATTGCTCTCAGTCTCAAAGTAAGTGATTTCACATCTTCAGCTTCACAGGTCATCTCCCAAAGATATGGTAAAACTTTATGCTTTCCTGTTGCTCATAATCATGTCTATAATCCTGAGGAGCTCAAAAAATTAAATCCCCTAACAACAAATCCTCAAAGAAACAACTGCCCGATAAATAAGTGGGCTAAAGACTTAAAGAGAAACTTCTCTGAAGAGGAAATAAGAATGGCCAATAGATATATGAAGAAATGCTCAACCTGTCTAGCCATAAAAGAAATGCAAATCAAAACAACATGAGATTCCACCTCATCCCAGTTAGAATGGCTATAATCAAGGAATCTATTAACAACAGATGCTGAAGGGGATGTGGCCAAAAGGGAGTCCTACTGCACTGTTGGTAGGAGTGTAAACTTGTGCAATCACTTTGGAAAGCAATATGGAGGTTCCTCAAAAGACTCCACATAGAGCTCCCCTATGACCCAGCACTTTTGGGCATTTACCCAAACAATCACAAACTAGACCATACTAAGGCTACCAGTACAACTGTTTATTGTAGTATTATTTACCAAAGCTAAGATATGGAACCAACCCAGATGCCCCTCAGCAGATGAATGGATCAAGAAAATGTGATATATATATATATATATATATATATATATATAAATTCTATGCCTTCATCAGAAGGAATGACATCGCCCCATTTGTTAGGAAATGGAAAGACTTGGAAAAAATTATATTAAGTGAAGTGAGCTATGCCCAAAGAAACAAAGGTCCCATGGTTTCCCTTATTTGCAATAACTAGTATATGTCTGGGACAAGCAGACAAGATCAAAAGCTATGTACATATGACCAGATAAGATAACCAGATAAAATGAACCCCAAGATAGGGAAACAAGTGGTGTTTTCTTTCTTGCTATTGTTCCTAACATATTTATAATGTACCATGTGATTTTTTTTTGCTTCTTTCTATGTTCCTCCCCCATGGCATAACCCTTGTTTTCACTGTATTTGGTGTCGGTGCCCTGCATCTTGTATATACTTCTCTACCTTGGGAGGGGAAGGGAAAAAACAAAGTGCTTAAATAGAGATACAGGTTGACCCATTGTAACAATGAGATGTACAAGACACTATGTTGAAAAACGAACTTTACAATTTAGGTGGGGAGGGAGGTGGGGGAAGGGGGAGCCTACTTGTGGAGGTGGGAGGGAAGGGAGGGTAGGGGACAAACAAAGGAGGGGGTAACAATGCTTGATAGGAAATGTACTCATGACCTTGCTCATGTAACTGTAACCCCTCCGTACAGTATTTTTGCAATAAAAAACGTATTTTTTAAAAAAAGAAAGCAGTCAATAAAGTGCTAAAGCAAGTATTATAACAGACACAAAACTACTCATTTAAGGACTGAACACAACATCTACTTATTGACTTTAAAATCAGTGTGGGATTTCAATTCAACATGTTAGTTTCTAAGTACAGGTACCTTGATCATTGTCACCTCTTCCATCTCTCTCCATCTCTCCCAACCCTACCCATCCCCTCACATTGTTGTGTTCCATTTTCACAAATGTACATTGAATATTTTGACTATTCACCACCCTTCCTTTCTCCATTCATCTACCCCCTCTGCGCCTTGACTCACCCTCCCAAGGACAACACATGTTCTAGCTCTCTGGTATGTTTTTTAAAAGGAATATTTAAAAACATTTTATGAAAGAATAAAAAATATAGCCCCAACCTCCCTCCCAGCATAGAGAGTCCAAAAAGTCCAAGGTTACAGTGACATACAACAAGCAGGTTCAAACCCCCATGGTCCCTGATGCTCATTTCCAGCAGAACCTTCCTGGACAGGGTCTGGAAGCAAGCGACTTCCAATGTCATCTTCTAGGAAAAGCGTTCTGATACGTGGATAAGCAATTTGTATCTGCAATTTGTAGAAGATGGTAAAAGAGCAACACAAAACTAGAAAGGAGCAAACATGGTAATTCCTTAATGGGAAAGTTAAATTGTAAGACAATTATCATCAGAGAAACCTCTACAGGGAAAAAATTGAACTAATGGACCACATCACATTTAGTTGCAACCTGGTTTGATGATATGAAACTCATTTATTTTTTTTCATTATTATCTTTAAGTAGTTGTACAAAAGAGTTGCCATTTAACAAAGCAGTTTATGAATACAATATAACTTGATCAATGTCACCTCCTTCATTTTCACATGTCATTTTAAAAGCAAAGTTAAAGGAAAAATTTCACATTAAGGGAAAGATTTCACATTAATTACAAAGTAAATTCTAATGCTAGTCTTGCTTGGATGGGATAGGGGAAGAAGTAACAAAACCAGAGACTGGGCCTAACATGGTATCATGCTTTGACTCTCATGTATTTACAGGGTGTGTTTGAAAGGTGTTTATTCAAGGAATCAGTGCAAGATCTAGAAAATGAAGCTCTAAGCAAAAGTTTAAAATCAAGAAAGATTCTCTACCAAATAGTAATTTATTAAGACCTGTATTTACACTAATATTTTTAATATTTGATGAACAAAAGTTTAGGTCATTTCTATGAATAGTCCTATATTTAAGTATACTTAGCAAGCAGTCACAGAAATAAAAAGAACTTTTTGACAGGGGGCTTATTCCAGAAGGCCATTCATGTCTTTGGATTTGTTTGTTTGTTTTTGCCTGATGTGGGCAATAGTGGGGATTAGGTGGAGATACATTATCTCTCTAAGGGACATTGATCAAGAAACATAATTATGTATACTTACCCATCAGACATTGCTATGTAATCTTGACATTTATCCCTACAGAACGAGAATGTGGTTTCTAATTTCTTCCTAAGACTTTGATCCAGATATAGCCACTGTTAATGGATTGGGTTGATATAAAAGGTAAAGTCAATTATACATAAGTTATCCCCAAAGACATTTCAAATGGACTGAAATATGCTTCAATCCACCAAACACTCTTTGGAAGTGAAAGGAGATGGAAGAAGTGTGGAAATATAATGAGGATGTGAACTTGTTCAAAATACATCTATATATCTGTGGAATTGTCATAGTGAAACCTCATTCTATCCATGTATACACACTCAAAAATAAAAAAAAATCTACAGGTTTTTTTTTTTATTGAAGCAAGAAAAGGAAATTTTGTCATTAAGATTTATTTCCTCAGGTGCTAAGTCTTTATAATGTACTGCTCCCTCATCTCCTCTAGATTACTCTCCACTAATCGGCCATGTGCAAATACAATGTTAATTTGTTTTCACCATGAAAATAAAAGGATACAAAACCCATGAAAGCAGTCATGTCTGATAACTCCTAGAATGAGATATGAAGACATCAGCGTTGAGGATCTAGCAGAATTGAATGACTGGATAACCAACGAAGAGATATTTAACAAGGGAGATGGCTAGAAAGCAACTTCCAAAGAAAATGATTTTTATATCAAAAGTTTTAGAAAAGAGTATGGGAAACTGATGAAGTCAATAATGTTTTCTCTATGTGTGCCAGTACTGAGGCTTGAACTCAGGGATTCTTGTTCTCGCTTGGCTTTTTCTCTCAAAGCTGATCCCCTTGAGCAAGAGCTTCACTTTCAGCTCTTCACCGGTTAATTACAGATAAGAATCTTATGGACCATATCATGCCATGAAACAATTTGTAGAAAAAAATTATCCACAAACAACCTGACTTTATTCCTTATTTTTTTTAATTAAGCAGTTGGACAAAGGGGTTTCAATTCAACAAGTCAGATTTTGAGTATAATGCAACTTGACCTTGTTTACTCGTAATGTGCTTGCATATGTATCATTAAATTTTCTTATAATTGTAATGTATTTGTATTATTGTTATTTTGCTAGTTTAAGTGGATCCACCCTCTAGCTTCTCCATCCAGGTTTTTAGTAACATTTCTTTAGTAGTTTTTATTTTCTAATAACAAGAATATTCTGGACACCACAAACACACTTGAACACCACCTTCCGCATGTTGATAATCTCTCACTAAGATAGAGTGTTTTTAATATGTCTACATACACAGAAGGTTCTGACAGTCTTCTTGTTCCCATTTAGCTATTAATGGTTATATGTATGGCAACCAGCCAGGCCTCAGCATGTGCAAAAAGGATAGAGTGTCCTGGCATTTGATTGGAATGGGCACTGACACCGACATGCATGGAGTTTATTTCCAAGGAAACACCATCCACCTTCGAGGCACTCATCGCGACTCGCTGGCTCTGTTTCCCCACATGTCCACAACAGCGTTCATGCAACCCGACAATGCAGGTAAAAATGGTGGGTCTGTCTAGAGACCAGATTTCAGCTCCTCCTCATGGGGTCTTCTCTCAGAAGAAATTGACAGGCTTTTGATAATTCAAGAGTTATAGAAGCAGATATAGTTACATTCAAATGAGAGGAATCCTAGGTGTTTTTGTCCAAACACCCAGTGCAAAGGGCGGAGGAGATGACATCCACCAAGCAGGATACAGGGGTCTTCTAAATGACTCTGCCATACAAATCCCAGGTGAATGCTTTTGATCCATGAAAATTTATCTCTAAGAAAAGAAATTTCTGGCTGGGAAGGTGGCTCAGTGGTAGAGTGCTTGCCTTGCATGCATGAGGCCCTGAGTTCGATTCCTCAGCACCACATAAACAGAAAAAAACTGGAAGTGGAGTCGTGGCTCAAGTGATAGAGTGCTAGCCTTGAGCTGAAGAGCTGAGGGACAGCACCCATGCCCAGAGTTCAGGCCCTATGGCTGACAAAAAAAAAAAAAGGAATTTCTTACTCTCTTGAGCATGTACATCATTCTAGGTGCTGCTCCAAAGCATGTGGGTGCTCTAGGTATTAGAGAAATGGATGTAGCCATAAATAGAAGAACTTGGTTTCCCTTCCCTAATGACTTACAATGACTTTCAAATTAGCTGTCTGGAAACTTCTCTATTTTCATTTTTTCTGTTGAGCACTTTTGCTTTCTCCTGAGAGAAAGCTGCATTTTATTCATAGAAGTCCTTGTAAAGTGCCAATATGTGGAACATTTGCCCTAGAAATCCCAAGCTAATTAGGTTATTTGTTTTGTTTTTTTGAGCAGCTCATGGGAGTGTATGCTACTTTCTGCATGAAAAGTAGGATAGCAGGTGCCATGTGCATTCAATATATTTCACCACCCAACTTATTCACCAGTCTTAATATGAAACCTATGTGCTACTCAAGTAGCTGCTGAATCTCACATATTAATGGACTTGACTTCATTTACTGGAACCACACTTGAGATGCCTCTGTATCATCAGTTGAAACCTTGAGACTTGAGCTTTAAAACTTTTGCCCAAGAGCTCCTAGCATGAGAAGATCTATAAATAGTTTTAATCCACAGAAACAGGCCCTGAAAGAATTGGTTGGAATAATTTTAGAGATCTAGCTACTTTTCTAGTGTGGAACCATGACAGTCTCACAGCTTCTAAGGAGCCTCGTAACAAAAGTTTCTGGTTTATGTTTGGTGGGAAACACAGATTTGTGAATACTGAAGAGCTTAATCATTTTTAGCTATTCTTGTCCCTTATTTAGAAGCTGAGAAAAGTGCTCAAAAAGTGTGTAGACCTAGTTACCAGCAGCTCCTGCCTATAATTCTAGTTACTCAGGAGGTTGAGATCTGAGTACTATGGTTCAAAAGTAGCACTGACAGGAAAAGTGTATGAGACTCTTTATTATCACTTAACCACTAAAAACCCAGAAGTGGAACTGTGGCTCCACTAGCAGAGTGCTAGCCTTGATTGAAAAAAATAAAGGGACAGCACCCAGGCCCTGAGTTCAAGCCCCAGTACCCTCCCCCCCACACACACACACAAAGTAGAGCAGACAGTGGCTGAAACTCACACATTTCTTCTTGATCTTTGAGAAAACACTTCCTTAACTGCTGAAAAACAATAATGGACAAATACATCATGAGCTGCCTGAAAAAAGCTTGCACAAAGGAAGACCTTTCCAAACGTGCTTTCTTTGTAGTTTCACAAGACCCTGGCCCACATTTTTAAGAAGAATCAACCTTATATTTATTATGCTTTTTGAGGCTCTTGTTCAAGGGGCACTTAAATATCTACTGAATCAACTGTTTTTTCTCGTCAGAGAGGGAATTTGAAAATAATTGGACAACAGTTTCATGTGCAGAAAAATTAAAGTTCTTTGGGAAGTGCTGATAGTTACTAATGGGCACGCCAATTGTGTGATTCTAAAACAGTCTATTAGAGAAAGGGAAGATTTGTTGATCCAATAATTTCTTAATTTTGTTACATGTGGTTTTATAGTGAGTTTAGTTATGATGTATCTATCTGATGTCAATTCTTCTAGAAAATTCCATTGAAAATACAGTTAATGTTTTCTATGCATATTTCTAGCAAATCACATCTAATTTCAGGTGGGGTGATTTACTAGAATTACACACGGAAATCAAAATTTGTTCTTGTTGCTTTTTATTTGGCATAATGTAGAACAAGCTTTAGATATGAGACTCCTCAAGACCTTAATGAGGTAGTTCATCTTTTTAATGATGATAAAAATAAGACTTCACACTTTTATTGTTCACAATAATTTATGAAATCCCTTGGTAGCAATCTTCTATGACTTCAGAACTTTGTCTAGATTAATTAGTTCTTTTTAAACTAGCACAGGCTGAAATGGTCATATCTTCAGAAGTGACCATTTTTAGTGGGTGTGTATAATAAGGACGATCCTGAGAAGTCATTTCTTGGTAAAAATTTGTAGGGTTTATTTTTCCCCAAATAAATTTAAAATTAATTTTTATTCTGAAGTAAATCTATTCGAAACAATTTCTTTCCATTGGGGTCGGATTTGAAAATATTTAAAACCCAATGTTTTAAAAGTCAACCCAGCTTTGTTGTTGATTTGGAAATAAGTTATGTAGGTTTGGTAAAGCAGCCGTCCACCCCATGGCCCGCAGTAACGCGAATGCCATGCACAATGCTGGCTGTTCTCTTCCAGGGGATTTGAAAGTGTCTGCTCACCTTGGGCTGTCCGTTCTCTTCCAGGGGTTTTGAAGGTGTCCTGCTCACCTTGGGCTGTCTGTTCTCTTCCGGGGGTTTCCAAGGTGTCTGCTCACCTTGGGCTGTCTGTTCTCTTCCAGGGGTTTTGAAGGTGTCTGCTCACCTTGGGCTGTCCGTTCTCTTCCAGGGGTTTTGAAGGTGTTCTGCTCACCTTGGGCTGTCTGTTCTCTTCCGGGGGTTTCCAAGGTGTCTGCTCACCTTGGGCTGTGTGTTCTCTTCCAGGGGGTTTCCAGGGTGTCTGCTCACCTTGGGCTGTCTGTTCTCTTCCAGGGGTTTTGAAGGTGTCTGCTCACCTTGGGCTGTCCGTTCTCTTCCAGGGGTTTTGAAGGTGTCTGCTCACCTTGGGCTGTCCGTTCTCTTCCAGGGGTTTGAAGGTGTCTGCTCACCTTGGGCTGTCCGTTCTCTTCCAGGGGTTTTGAAGGTGTTCTGCTCCACCTTGGGCTGTCTGTTCTCTTCCAGGGGGTTTCCAAGGTGTCTGCTCACCTTGGGCTGTCTGTTCTCTTCCAGGGGTTTGAAGGTGTCTGCTCACCTTGGGCTGTCTGTTCTCTTCCAGGGGTTTTGAAGGTGTCTGCTCACCTTGGGCTGTCCGTTCTCTTCCAGGGGTTTTGAAGGTGTCTGCTCACCTTGGGCTGTCTGTTCTCTTCCAGGGGTTTTGAAGGTGTCTGCTCACCTTGGGCTGTCCGTTCTCTTCCAGGGGTTTTGAAGGTGTCTGCTCCACCTTGGGCTGTCTGTTCTCTTCCAGGGGTTTTGAAGGTGTTCTGCTAACCTTGGGCTGTCTGTTCTCTTCCAGGGGTTTTGAAGGTGTCTGCTCCACTTTGGGCTGTCTGTTCTCTTCCAGGGGTTTTGAAGGTGTCTGTTCACCTTGGGCTGTCTGTTCTCTTCCAGGGGTTTCCAAGGTGTCTGCTCACCTTGGGCTGTCTGTTCTCTTCCAGGGGTTTGAAGGTGTCTGCTCACCTTGGGCTGTCTGTTCTCTTCCAGGGGTTTTGAAGGTGTCAGCTCACCTTGGGCTGTCCGTTCTCTTCCAGGGGTTTTGAAGGTGTTCTGCTCACCTTGGGCTGTCTGTTCTCTTCCGGGGGTTTCCAAGGTGTCTGCTCACCTTGGGCTGTCTGTTCTCTTCCAGGGGGTTTGAAGGTGTCTGCTCCACCTGGCGCTGCCCGTTCTCTTCCAGGGGTTTTGAAGGTGTCTGCTCACCTTGGGCTGTCTGTTCTCTTCCAGAGGTTTTGAAGGTGTCTGCTCCACTTTGGGCTGTCTGTTCTCTTCCAGGGGTTTGAAGGTGTCTGCTCACCTTGGGCTGTCTGTTCTCTTCCAGGGGTTTGAAGGTGTTCTGCTAACCTTGGGCTGTCTGTTCTCTTCCAGGGGTTTTGAAGGTGTCTGCTCCACTTTGGGCTGTCTGTTCTCTTCCAGGGGTTTTGAAGGTGTCTGCTCACCTTGGGCTGTCTGTTCTCTTCCAGGGGTTTGAAGGTGTTCTGCTCACCTTGGGCTGTCTGTTCTCTTCCAGGGGTTTGAAGGTGTTCTGCTCACCTTGGGCTGTCTGTTCTCTTCCAGGGGTTTTGAAGGTGTCTGCTCCACTTTGGGCTGTCTGTTCTCTTCCAGGGGTTTTGAAGGTGTCTGCTCCACTTTGGGCTGCCCGTTCTCTTCCAGGGGTTTTGAAGGTGTCTGCTCACCTTGGGCTGTCCGTTCTCTTCCAGGGGTTTTGAAGGTGTCTGCTCACCTTGGGCTGTCCGTTCTCTTCCAGGGGTTTGAAGGTGTCTGCTCACCTTGGGCTGTCCGTTCTCTTCCAGGGGTTTTGAAGGTGTTCTGCTCCACCTTGGGCTGTCTGTTCTCTTCCAGGGGGTTTCCAAGGTGTCTGCTCACCTTGGGCTGTCTGTTCTCTTCCAGGGGTTTTGAAGGTGTCTGCTCACCTTGGGCTGTCTGTTCTCTTCCAGGGGTTTTGAAGGTGTCTGCTCACCTTGGGCTGTCTGTTCTCTTCCAGGGGTTTGAAGGTGTCTGCTCCACTTTGGGCTGCCCGTTCTCTTCCAGGGGGTTTCCAGGGTGTCTGCTCACCTTGGGCTGTCTGTTCTCTTCCAGGGGTTTGAAGGTGTTCTGCTCACCTTGGGCTGTCTGTTCTCTTCCAGGGGTTTCCAAGGTGTCTGCTCCACTTTGGGCTGTCTGTTCTCTTCCAGGGGTTTTGAAGGTGTCTGCTCCACTTTGGGCTGCCCGTTCTCTTCCAGGGGTTTGAAGGTGTCTGCTCACCTTGGGCTGTCCGTTCTCTTCCAGGGGTTTTGAAGATGTCTGCTCACCTTGGGCTGTCTGTTCTCTTCCAGGGGTTTGAAGGTGTCTGCTCCACTTTGGGCTGCCCGTTCTCTTCCAGGGGTTTTGAAGGTGTCTGTTCACCTTGGGCTGTCTGTTCTCTTCCAGGGGTTTTGAAAGTGTCTGCTCACCTTGGGCTGTCTGTTCTCTTCCAGGGGTTTGAAGGTGTCTGCTCACCTTGGGCTGTCTGTTCTCTTCCAGGGGGTTTCCAGGGTGTCTGCTCACCTTGGGCTGTCTGTTCTCTTCCAGGGGTTTGAAAGTGTCTGCTCCACTTTGGGCTGCCCGTTCTCTTCCAGGGGGTTTCCAGGGTGTCTGCTCACCTTGGGCTGTCTGTTCTCTTCCAGGGGTTTGAAGGTGTTCTGCTCACCTTGGGCTGTCTGTTCTCTTCCAGGGGTTTCCAAGGTGTCTGCTCACCTTGGGCTGTCTGTTCTCTTCCAGGGGTTTTGAAGGTGTCTGCTCCACTTTGGGCTGTCCGTTCTCTTCCAGGGGTTTTGAAGGTGTTCTGTTCACCTTGGGCTGTCTGTTCTCTTCCAGGGGGTTTGCAGGGTGTCTGCTCACCTTGGGCTGTCTGTTCTCTTCCAGGGGGTTTCCAGGGTGTCTGCTCACCTTGGGCTGTCTGTTCTCTTCCAGGGGTTTCCAAGGTGTCTGCACACCTTGGGCTGTCCGTTCTCTTCCAGGGGTTTTGAAGGTGTCTGCTCACCTTGGGCTGTCTGTTCTCTTCCGGGGGTTTCCAAGGTGTCTGCTCCACCTTGGGCTGTCTGTTCTCTTCCAGGGGGTTTTGAAGGTGTCTGCTCCACCTTGGGCTGTCTGTTCTCTTCCAGGGGTTTGAAGGTGTCTGCTCACCTTGGGCTGTCCGTTCTCTTCCAGGGGTTTTGAAGGTGTCTGCTCACCTTGGGCTGTCCGTTCTCTTCCAGGGGTTTTGAAGGTGTCTGCTCCACTTTGGGCTGTCCGTTCTCTTCCAGGGGTTTTGAAGGTGTCTGCTCACCTTGGGCTGTCCGTTCTCTTCCAGGGGTTTTCAAGGTGTTCTGCTCCACCTTGCACCACTTCGCCCGAGGCATGAGTCAGATCTACGAGGTCAGCAGCTGTGGCCACAGGGACCCTCCCGAGCCGCCCTACGGGATGCTAAGAACCTTTTTCATCGCCGCTGAAGAGGTAGAATGGGATTATGCCCCTAACAAAAACTGGGAGTTCGAAAAGCAGCACTTGGACGCAGGAGGGGAAAGGTACCAACGGCGAAGCCGCCAAGCTCTTCGGTGGGAATGCGCATGCTCACTTCTGGAAACATGAAAACAAATGTGCGGGGTTTTCTCTGCACAGCTCTGACAGGTGGAGGCTTTTCCTCACGCGTGCAGAAGCTCAGGGCTGCCCCCCCCCCCCGGTCCTCCACTGGACAGGGACAGGTGGCCACCCGAGGCCACTTCTGCGCTTCCTCGGTGATGACTGATCTGCCGTAGAGCAGATGGACAGATGGACTCTGCCGTGGGGCAGATGGACAGATGTCTTCAAGTGAGGATGAAGGGAAAGGCCCAGGGGAAGAAGCGAGTCCTCGGTGCCAGGGAAGCTGGGAGGGAGAGGAGGAGTGGAGGTCTCTGGGAGAGACGGTCCAGATACAGGTGTATGAGGGGAGTGAGGCAGGGGCCATGGTCTCAGAAGAGATCCCTGACCTGGGGTGCGAACTAAGCTGTCCCTCAATGTCTGTACCCAGAAAGTCTGCAAGATCCACCCACCTTCCTTTGAAAGGTTCAGAAGCCCGGGCTACATGCCAAGGAATGAGCAATGCTGGAGCCCCATGTAGGCTGTGAGTGTTGGGCCTCCACTGCCCTCTCCTGGAGTCCAGGGAGCCAGTCCTTCCGGACTTAGGGACAAGGTCAGAAGCAGAGTGCAGGCCTCCTCCTCCAGAGTTAGAACCCTCCACTCCATGACTCACCACTGTCCTGATGCTTAGATGAGGAAACCTGGGAGCCAGAGTAAAGTCCTCTAACTAGCCTTTGGTAGACTTGGAATTGAACAGAAACCTTTTGAGGAGGCAAATCCATGTTTTATTGTCTCAGCAGCACATCACATTGTAGTTCTCCAGTTCCTGTTTTCTTTTTATTGCAGAGGTGATGTACAGAGGGGTTACAGTTACATATGTCAGGTGTTGAGTACATTTCTTTTGAACAGTGTCACCCTTTTGTCTGCTTTTTTAACTTTGGGGAGGGCTTACAACTTGCAAGGGAGGCCTCTGTACTTGAGCCATGCGTCTAGCACTTTTGCTGTGTATATTTTTAAGATAGAGTCAGCTCAGGCTGACTTGTACTTCAATATTCCTATTTATCTCCCTGTGGCTGGGATAACAGGAACACACCATCATGCATTTCTGTAGAAGTGGGATCTCATACGTTTTGAGCCAGGGCTGGGTCCAGCCTGTACTTTCTTCCTCTTCCTCATGAAATCCTCTAAGGCTGGAAACACTTTTTTTTTTTCCTTTTCTTACTGGCCTTTGTTGTGAGGTTTTTCTCTTCCTGGGAAAGAGAGAGCCTAACAGTGCCACCCAATGGATAAAAGGGAGAGAAAGAAAAGAAATGAAAAGAAAAAGAAACACCAAAATTAACTATTTTGAAGACTGCCTTTAGAACAGAAGGATTTAAATCAGTTTGTTAATCTAGACACCTTTCTTCTGGAAACCCGATGCTGCCAGGATAAGCAAAAATTGATATTAAAGCAGTAGAAAAGGAAGTGAATACTAATTTGGCTTTCTATAAAATGATTACATTATTAATCAGCCAAATAAATTATTGTACAACTAAATAATTGTACAAAGTTTTTTCATGTATATGCAAGTGTGTAAAAGATACCACTTTCAGTATTTTCTTTTGACTCATTCTTACTTCTGTTTGAAGCCCCTTACTTCTGAATGATCAGGCAGGTCTAGTTCCAGGCTCTGGGACTCTGTCCCAAATGACACTAGAAAATAGAGAATGCTGGTGGAGATAAGGAGCAAGTTCCATAACCATGCCCCTCCTGCAACATTAATAAATACAAGAGGGATAAGGACATGTTTCCAAGTTCAAAGTTCACCAAATTCTGTAGAAAAAAATTTCAGTTTAGCACTGAAATGGTTTCATTTCCAGTAGTGCATCTGCAATCTCTCTGTAGATAGGAATCCAGGGACAAATATCTCTCCACACCCAGTGGAGTGCATCTGCCCTTTGCCCCAATTCCATGGGAGCACATGTTAGGGATTTGAACCACTCTCGATTCGATGTCAATGACATTGGTTTGATGCTTATGAGACATTGTCCTTATCAGCACAGGCCTCTATCATAACTTTAGGTTGTTAAGAGCATCTGGGAAGGCTTTAGGACCCTAAACAGGGAGCAAATAGATTCATCTGCACAACTCTAGGAGACAATTTATGAGTGAGTGTGTGTGTGTGTGTGTGTGCACACGCGCGCGCGCGCGCCAGCACCAAAGCTTAACCTCAGGCTTAGGGCTCTCTCCCTTAGCTTTTTGAGCCACAGCTCCGCATTTGGCTTTTTGCTGGTTAATTGGGAATAAGAGTCTCACAGACTTTTCTGCCCAGGCTGGCTTTGAACCATAACCCTTAGATCTTAGCCTCTTGAGTAGCTAGGATTACAGGCACCAGCCATGGGTACTCAACTATGTGAGGGCAAATTTGAAAAAAAAATAAGTTGCTATAGGCAGAGTTATATTTCATATTGCTGAGTTTGTGGAGTGGCATGTGTATAGTTGAACCATATTACTATGGGTTTCTCCATAATAATCATCATCTGTTGTACAACTCTTATGGGGCATTTGCTCAGAGTTTTACAAATCATATGTAGTTTGATCCTTACAATGTGCTTGACCAATGCAACTAACTTTCAGAATTTCCATGCAGATGAGATTATGTCAAAGAGAGTAATTAGCTTTTAATATACTCCTAACCCATTGCTGGACATCTACCCAAAACATCACAAGCCAGGATACCATAAAGACACCTGCATATCCATAGAGAAATAATGCTGGGAAACACCTGACTCCAAGGTCTATGTTGGTTAAAACCACAAGTATTAACAGAGCTCCTTGGAAAACAAAAGTAGAAGAAAAGTCTCTTCCTTTCTAAAGTATACAGTCTAGATCAGAGGTGTATGTTCTAGGCATTATGCAAAGCTCTGATGAAGGAGTGTGGAGGAGGAGAGACAAGAAGAAGCAGAAAGAAGAGAGATATGCCATAATTTGGAGATAAAATGGATAGATTTTTCTTTTTCCAAAACTTATTTGTAACCTGCAAGTTATTGTAACCTGTAATTTATTGTAACTTTTGGCTCTTTTGCGGTCATTTGAAGATCTTTAAAATGATAAGAAAACCTAAAGTGGACTGATAAGGTGAAATAAAATGTCTCTCTGTCTTCTTGTCAAATGTAAACCAAGGGTCCATTTAGCTGGGCATCTGTGGCTCACACCTATCATCTTAGCTACTCAAGAGGCTTAGATCTGAGGATTGAGGTTTGATGAAGCCTGGCTGGGGGAAAATGTCCTTGGAATTCTTATCTCTAATTAACCAGCAAAAAGCCAGTAATGGAGTTGTGGCTCAAGTGGTAGAACACAGCATGGAGCAAAAAAGCCAACTAAGAAGAGTTACAGTCACAAAAATAAGCATCCTTTTTAAAGTCTATTTAGTGTCATAGTTTTACATGTGTGTGCTTTATTTTGTTCACTGTTTCAAATGCCACTTCCCATTCCAGAAGTAGTACTGACGCCCTGTCTCATATTTGCATTTGCAAGCATCACAGGATTGGGATGTGCCCTACAGAGAAAATATGTTCACACAGAATGAATTATACTGCTGTTGGCTGTGAGTTTAATATTAATGAATTGTCATCATAATACGTTAAATAAAATGTCTTTAAGCTAACCTACATGCTTGGGAGCTGTCCCTGAGCCTCTTTATGCTCAAGGCTAGCACTCTACCACTTGAGCCACACAGCACCACTTCTGGCTTTTTTCTGAATAGTCTATTGGAGATGAGAATCTCATGGACTTTCCTGCCCAGGCTGACTTTCAACCATGATCCTCAGATCTCAGTCTCCTGAGTAGCTAGGATTATAGGCATGAGCCACCAGCAGTCAGCATAATTATTCTTGAGGGCAATTATAAGAGTGGACCATGGGTTTCCCTTAACAGAAACAATTCCTGCCCCTACTCCCCAAGAAAGGTGCAAATGGCCAGCTCTGTAGGGAGACCCTGATTATAGCCAGGTTTCGGGATCTTTACTCTGAATTCTCCCCAAATTCCTCAGAAATACTTGAAGTTTGTCTCCCTTCTGACAACCTAAATTTCTGCTGCTTCTGTTTGCAGACATGGAGATATATTTATGAACCACACTGAAAACTGGATTGGTTCTCAGTACAAGAAGGTGGTTTACAGGGAGTACACCAATGGAGAATTTGTGGAGATCAAAGCCCGGCCACCTCCAGAGGAACACTTAGAACTCCTGGGTATGGCAGATTTCAGTGTGTAGCATTAGCCCCAAGCATGGGTATACACACACACACACACACACACACACACACACACACACACACACACACTTCTGTGAGACAGGAGGGACAAAGTAGCATGACTTTATTCATCTGTGTGTAGTATATTCTTGCTCTGCCATCATTAGGGAGTGTAATATGAACTTGGATCACACAAAGAATACTTGTAGAAATATAACAGAGGACACATAGTCAGGAAGCTACATCCCCAGGAGCCTGACACTCCTTGAGCTGTGAGTCAACAGAGCTCTGAAGGACAAGTGTTGATTCTGTTGAGGGGGCTAGGTGTACTGCCACACAACCCTGGTTTGGTTCTAATCAATGAAATGAGACAAGTGAATATTTTCATTTGAAACAATTGATTGTCTCAGAGAATCTGGTAAAATATTTGCATGACTTCTCTAAGGTTCTGGACTCTTCATGCACAGTGCTGTACTTTCCACATGATATAAAAGAAGTAGGGTAAAACAGAAAACTCGGATGTGGAATGAGTGCCAAAACTAAAAGTCTGGTCTCAGTTCCAGAGGAGCTGACCCCCAAAACTCAGCATTGACTTGGTCTGTCTAATACTGCTTTTTCTGCTTCTGAATGCATGAGGTAACTTATATAATCAGTATAGCTTTACATTATCCATATCAATATTAAGTATCAAGCTGACTCTTAGCTTGAAAAATTATGAAATGCTCCACCCACCTTCCTCCAGACCTCCAGGGTCTATTAACATTTGACCTGCAAGCTTGTTTGTCTCACCAAATGAGTCATGCATTTGAGCCATGGTGTCTATAGAACTCTGGAGGAAAGGTGTTGGTCTTGCCAAGGGGCTGGGCACACTCCCAAATCTCCCTCATTTGTCCTACTCAGCGAAATGAGAGAAGCAAGTGACTTCATCAGTGGCATCTGAGCAGCCTTCAGCCAGGGGAGTGTGAGGCCTGTACACTTATTGTCTGTAGCACAAGGAGACACCTGGGCTTCTAAAATAGCTTGAGAGCCCATATAAGGCACACGGCTACTCAGCACCATTTCTTGTGTCCAGTTACACTGTAATACAGAAAGTATTCATTCTTACTTATCAGTATAATAAGGTGTATGTAGTTTAAGAAGCAATGTGAATAAATACTTTATTAGATGCAAATTCACACACCCACACGTCCACATTAACTGGTTAAAATTTGGGGTGGAGATGGTCCTAGGACTTGAACTCAGTGCATCATGCTTACTAGACAGGTACTCTACTGCTGAACAGTGCCTCCAGTGCTTTTTAAGTCTTATCATTAAAAAATGCTTTTCAGAAACTGCCTGGTTTAGGATAAAACTTTTCTTCTGAATATGAAAACATTTCAACAAATTTTATATTTATTGGTATCTTTAGTGGTGTTTCTCAGAAAAGTATAACAAAAATGGTGCTTTGGATTAGTGAAGAATGGATAAATGTTGCCACATCACCAACTGTGAGTGTCTCTATGAATGTAGAATACATGACATGCCAAGCAAAAAGCCATAGGGATCAGGTCTAAAGTACTTTTAAAATGGGAGCCCATTCACCATGAAGCTATGCCTCATTCAGGCACAAATAAGGGTCTAGAGTATGTTTCTTCAATGTTTCTACATATCTAACATAAAGCATTCAATATGCAGTAGCGAAATCAATGTGCTCTTCATAACTCAATATGTAAGCATTTTTAGTTCAATTTTACATTTCAAAACCTTTTAATAAAATTATTTCCTGGGATCATTATTACATCATTATATCCATTTACCAGATACTAAGCAATTTCATACTTACTAAAGGTTTATACACAGGAAATTACAGCACAAGGTGAACATCATGTTCATATGACTTTTCTTATTGTCCAATAGTAGCAAAAAGTTAACCATATATCAAATAGTATATTTCAGAATGCCCTGAAATAGCACTTTACAAAGATTACTTTTTTTTAATCCTTGCCACAATTCTGTGAGAAAAGTATAGATGTGTCAGATTACATGGCTCACCCAAGTCCTCCCAATAAGCAAAGGAAGCAGAAAAGCAACTCAGCTTGATCTTATTACTAAACACTGTATGATATTTACAGAATACAATACAATATTGTCCTCCAAAGGATGCGCACCAATGCTAAACTAAACTTTATTTTATTCTGCTAAATGCTATTTATGTTTAAACTACACTGATATTGGAAAGAACAACAGTAATGCACACAGGCCCGTGATCTGCCTTTAGGACCAATGATTCATGCTGAGGTGGGTGACTCCATCCTGATCATATTTAAGAACAAAGCAAGCCGGCCTTACTCCATCTCTGCCCAGGGTGTGGAGGACACAGACAGCGGGAAGCAACTCCAAGTGCCTATTACAAAGCCAGGTCAGTTATTCCAGAGGTCAGCCTTTTCTCTTTCTTTCTTTCTTTCCTTTCTTTCTTTCTTTCTTTCTTCCTTTCTTCCTTTCTTCTTTCTTTCTTTCTTCCTTCCTTCCTTCCTTCCTTCCCTGCCTCCTTCCCTCCTTCCCTCCCTCCCTCCATCCCTCCCTCACTCTCTCTTCTTTCTTTCTTTCTTTCTTTCTTTCTTTCCTTCCTTCCTTCTTTCCTTCTTTCTATTGTTATTGTAAAGGTGGTGTACAGAGGTATTACAATTATGTAAGCCAGGTAATGAGTACTTTTTGAACAGGGTCACCTTTTTCCTAGTTTTCTTCCAATTTTTTCTTCCTTATCTCCCTCCCCCACAAGTTGTATGGTTATTTTCAGCATAATGTCTAGTGAGTATCACTGCTGTATTTGTTTACCCTTTATCCCACCATTTCAGTCCTCCTTCTTACCCTCTTCCAACAGATAAACTTATATAAAAGACAAAAGTACAGAAACAAAAAACAGTGACAAAGGAGGGGGAAAAAAGCCAAGAAGCAAAGTAACATAAGACTTCTTGTTTTCATTTCTTAGAGTTCATTTTGGTAAGCATTATTTTATAGGATCATATGCCCATAGCTATTGACCTTTGTGATCCTTTCCCAAGAATATCCTCTTTTGGTCTCACTGTGTGAATGTCTAGAGTATTGTATGATTTATCATGTCCAAGTGTATTATTTTTGTCTTTTACCATCCAATGTGTTTACTTGTAGATTTTCAGACACTTTTTAGTTACAACAAATAAGGGAAACCATGCAACCTATGTTTCTTTGGGTCTAGCTTACTTTACTTAATGTAATTTTTTCTAATTATTTCCATTTTCTTATGACTGGTATAATATTCTTTCTGATAGTGAGTAGATTTCCACTGTGTGTATATACCACATTTTCTTGATCCATTCATCCATAGAGGGGCATCTGATTCCATATCTTGACTATGGAAAACAATACTGCAATGAACATGGTTGTGCTGGTAGCTTTAATATGGCCTTGTTTGTGACCTTTTGGGTAAATACCCAGGAGTGGAATTTCTGGGTCATAGGGAAGCTTTATGTTTAGTCTTTTGAGGAACCTCTATACTGCTTTCCAGAGTGATTAAACAAGTTTACATTCCCACCCACAGTGTACTAGCACTCCCTTTTGGCCACATTTCCGCCAGCATCTGTTACTAGTTTTCTTGATTATAGGTGGAATCTCAATGTTGTCTTGATTTGCATTTTTTTTATGGACAAAGATGTTGAACATTTCTTCATGTGTCTATTGGCCATTTTTACTTCTTCTAAGAAATCTCAACAGCTTGATACTGGCACAAGAATATACCCAAGGACCAATGGGACAGAATAGAAGATCCACAAATAATCCCACAGACCTATAGCCACCTAATATTTGACAAGGGAGGCAAAAATCACAGGATGGGAGAAAGGCAGCCTCTTCAACCAGTGGTGCTGGCAGAATTGGCTATACACATGCAGAAAACTGAAGCTAGATCTATGTATATCACAATGCACTAGAATCAATTCTAAATAGATCAAAGACCTTAATATAAGGCCAGATACCATGGAAATATTACAGGAAGGGCTAAGATAAACACTGGGGCCCCTAAGCACAAGTTGAAACTTCCTAAGTAAAGATCCAGAATCACAACAAATCAAAGAAAGACTGGATAAATGGGATTGCATCAAACTGAAGAGTTTCTGCATGGCAAAGGACATAGCAAGCAAGATAAATAAAAAGCCCACAGAATGGGAGATTTTTACTAGCTATGCATCAGCTATGCATCTTGTCTGCTCCATTCTAATGGGGACCTACTTTCTTTTCTTTTTTTGATCTTTGATCAGTCTTAGAGAACCCTAAGATTATTTCATCATTCCCCAGTCACCCTGGTATGAGAAAATCATTCCTCCAATAACTAAGTCTTTAAGAAATTTCTAGGGTTCCATTAGGGACTTCATAGAGTTAGAAGAAATAACAATGGCCAACATATACTGAATGGTAACCTTGTGGTAGGTTCTATTCTTTGCATTTAAAACAAAGCAAAGAAGACATAAAACTCTTATTTATCCTTACACCAATTTGGCAAGGAAGATACTAACATTTTATTGATTCCAGCACCATTGATTTTAATATGTATCATTATGATATTTGTTACTAAAAAAAAGAAAAAACATGCTGTCAGTTAAAACAATGTGTTATAGATTTCATGGTGCATTAGATGTTAAATAATGATAGGAAAATTTTGCATCTTATAATTGATGAAATATGCAATTGTTATGTTCTTATCCACACATTTGCCTTAAGATGATTAAAATAAGTTGGGTTGGAAGAGATAAAAGATAAGACTGAATCATTTCAGAATAATGCAGATTACACATGATAAAATTCTAAGGGATGAAGAATTTTTTAAAAATCTATAGGACTGTTTATAAAAGTATCAGAGAAGGAAAATCTGTGATGGCTAATTAGTTGACTAGAAGAATTAAGGAAAGAATTAATTAGGTAAAGTTTTTTTAATGAATTAGAACTTGTTATGCTTTTTTTAAAATCAACAATCAACAAGCTTTATTTTTCAGTGTACTTAAGGTTCACAGGTAAGCTGAGCAGAGGTACAGAGAGTTCCCATATACCTTCTTTCTCACCCATGCATGGCATCCCACCACTAACAGTATTTTCCCTAACTAGAGTGAAACATTTGTTATACACCATTGCACTACACAGAATAATTCCACTGTTCTAAAATTTATACCCTGTCTATTACCCCTACCTTCTCCCTTCGTCCTGAGTGACCACAGATCTATATACTGACTCCTTGGTTTGGCCTTTTCAAGGATGTCATGTACTTAGAATTAGACTTTTCAGAAGAGCTCCTTTCATTCAATGATATACATTTGAGTTTCCTCCATATTTTTCATGATTGGATAGTTCACTCCTTAGTACCAAATAATATGCCATTGTATGGTTGTGTCACACTTCATATACTCACCTACAAAAAGGACATCTTTGTTGCTTCCAAAATTGGCAATTACAAACATAGCTAGTGTAAACATCTGCAGGCAGATTTTAGTATGAAAATAAAATTTCATCTCTTTGGGGTAAATACTAACAAATACAACTACTAAAACTATTATTAAGAATGTATGTAGTTTTGTTATTTTTTTAAAGAAACTGTCAAACTGTCATTCGAAAAGACTGTATCATTTTTGTATTCCAATGTACAATGAGAGCTCCTGTTGCTCCATTACTATCTGATGTTATAGATTTTGGACATTCTAACAGGTATAATAACAAATCATTATTTTAACTTGAAATTCCCTAAATGATATATGAAACATTTTTTCATATCTTCCTTACTTTTTGTATCCAATCATTTTTTTCCCCAGAAGTGGAGCTGTGGCTCAAGTGGTAGGGTACTAGCCTTGAACACAAAATCTCAGGAACAGTGCCTGGGCCTTTACTTCAAGCCCCAGAACCAGTATCAAAAAAAGAGCCTCATTAACTTTCCTGCTCAGGCTGGCTTAGAACAATGATCCTTAGATCTCAGCCTCCTGAGTAACTAGGATTACAGGTGTGACCCACCAGCACCCAGCTATCTTTTCTTTCTTGATTGGTGTTTGTTAATTCAACAAAGATTTAACAATTATATATAAGTATTTCTGTTTTGGGGCCCTCTATTCTGTTTCATTGATATATTTGTCTATTCTTCTGTCAGTACTACAATTTGTTTTCTATATATCTTCTTTTTTTTATTTTTGATTGTCATAATTACATATACTTTTAGAATATGATGTGTTTCAATACCTGCAAACATGCATATTAATGATCAAAGAAGCATAATTACCACAACAGTCACCTTGAGTACTTATCATTTCTTTGTGTTGAGAATATTCAAAATCTTCTCTTTAACTATTCTGAAACATACAATTCATCATTGGAAACTACTGTCACCTTACTGTACAATAGAGCACCCAAACATTCCTTCTACTTCCTCCTAATCAACTTCTCCACACCTCCCACCTTGATAGTGCCAGTTCTACTTTGTTCTTCACTTTTAATATTGAATAGGCTATTCTGGGTCTTTTACCTTTCCATATAAAACTTGAATCAGAGCCAGGTGTCAATGGTTCATGCCTATAATCCTAGCTACTCAGGAGGATGAGATCTAAGGATCACAGTTCAAAGCTAGCCCAAGAAGGAAAATCTGTGAGACTCTTATATCCAATTAACCACCAGAAAACTAAAAATGGAACTGTGGGTTAAAGTGATAAAGCACCAGCCTTGAGCGAAGAAGTTCAGGAACAGTGCCTAGGCTCTGAGTTCAAGCCTCACAACTGACAAAAAAGGTTAAAATCAGTGTATTGTATCTACAAACAATTTGTTGAGATTTGTATTGATTGTCTTTGACTTATGGATCAACTTGAGAAGGAAAGTATCTGACATCATTGAATTTTTGTCTCCATAAACACAGAATATCCATTTATAGTTCTTTGTTTATTTTTCATCACATTTTTTAGTTTTATTCATATATCTTGCTCCTTTTATTAAATGTGTATCTACATATTTTATTTGGGGGGAGGGGTTCTAATACAAGTAGCAGTCTGCTTTTAATTTCAATTTTTTTCTGATATATAACCAAGTATTGGCTTTTGCATATTAACTTTGCATCCTGTTATCTTACTGTGATTGCTTATTAATACTAGAAAGGATTTGTAGCCAGTTCCTTACATTTTATACACAGATGATTATGTCATGTGCAAACAAAGACAGTTTGCTTTCATTCTTTTCAATCATATACCTCTTTTCTTTCCTTTCCCTGTCTCTTGCATTTGGGAGGACTTCCTGGAGAAGTTGGAAAGCATAAGAGACCCCTTTCCTGGTCTTAATGGGAAATTTACATTTTTCACTATTAAGCAATTATAAAGTCATTTTAAATTAAATTTATATTGTTATTATAAAGATGATGTACAAAGAGATTACAGTTACATAAGTCAGGTAAAGAGTACATTTCTTTTTGGACAATGTCACCTTCCCGTGCTCTTTCCCAGTTAAGTCACTAATTTTCAATGGTCAAAAAATCTCCAAGATGCCAGGTGCTGGTGGCTCACGCCTGTAATCCTAGCTACTCAGGAGGCTGAGATTTGAGGATCAGGGTTTGAAGCCAGCCCAGGCAGGAAAGTCTGTGAGACTCTTATCTCCAATAAACCACTAGGAAACTGGAAGTGGTGCTGTGGCTCCACCAGTAGAGTGCTCTCCTTGAGCTGATAGAGCTGACTGACAGTCCCCACCCAGGCCCAGAGTTCAAGACCTACAACCAACAAAAAAAAAAAAACAACTCCAAGATATGGAAACAAAAGACTTTTTTTACTTCTTAGTTTGTGATGATTCTGTCTTCTTTTCCTTATGTCTGGTTTATTCAAGTATATATCTTTGGAAGGGTTGGGGGAGGGCACAGAATGGGAGAGGGAAGGAATGGGAGAGAGTGAGGGAACAGGTGACACTGTACAAAAGAAAATGTACTCATTACCTGACTCGTGTAATGGTAATCCCTCTGTACATCACCTCAATGAGAACAATAAATTATTTTTTTAAAAGACAACACCATGAGAGGAGAAAAGCTTCCTGCCAGGCATCGGTGAAGGCTTTGGTAAGGTTATGGTATGGCTAGAGTGACCCTAGCAAGCTACTGCACCTTCCTAGGAAGGGTGGGAAGACAGTCCTCCTCCCAGAGGCAAAGGTCACAAGAGTAGGCAGGACAATAAACTAGAAAGTGCAAGGAAGAATTTTTTTTCTATTGAAACTCATGAAATATTCCTTAAAATGTTTCTTGATAAGACTGAAAGGTTTGTGAAAAAACCCAGAGATTGATGGGAGAAGGAAAGAACTAACAGCTTGGGAAACTCAAGCAAGTTATTAAAGAACTACTTGCATGAGAAAGGGAGAGAACAAACATCATAAGAAAAGGAAGCAGCCCCTGTGAAATTCCTTCTTGCTAAAGAATCCTGTAAACATTTACTGAGCACCTTTATATGTATCATTATGCTGGTGGCTGGGCAAACAATGAATTATTACCACTTTAATAGTGCCACTTCTGAAGCTACTCAAGCTGAAGAAGCTAAATATCAGTTCACAGTTAGCAAGGTAAAATGGATTTTCATGAAACATAGTGGAAACAAACTAGATCTATAGTTGTATTACTACCACTGATGCATTCATAAAAACTGGAGCAAAATCAGGTGTGCCCATTTCTTTTGCTTTGTGGCACACATGGTTAGCCATAGGTTTGTTAATTCTGACTGGGTGGGAACTTGACATAGATCATTCAGAAGATATTTTGGTTGATTGTAGTTCTTATTTAGGACTTTGGCAATATGATTGTTTTGCTTGTTAATCTAGATACATTAGTGCCTTCTCTGTGCAACGCCCTGGGTCAGCATTTGTTTATTTACTGTCTTCAGTGCAAAGCACGATTGTGTGTATTTATTTATTGTCTTGTTTAGCCCTCACAACAATCTGATAGTCAAGATAGCTAACCAAGTATACAAGCAAGGAAACTAAATGTCAGTGAAGTTTTAAGTACCTTGTCAAATGTTTGTTAAAAAGTACACTAGGGCTGAGAGTTCAGTCTAGGTTTCTTGATTCTCTGTGATTCTGGATTTTTACCTTCCTCATACCCTATATCCCCAGGCTTTTAAAACATAGGTATCTGAATCAGAGAGTCAAGATATTTCTGATTTCACTTGGTCTTGTGTATGGCTTGAGCAGAGCTAGTTTACAAAACTTCCTGATGGCTCCTCTAACAGGCCTACACTGAGCCACTTGATGACTTACTCCTGAGGATTGATAGCTCTTGAGAAAGAGATAAAAACATATAGCAGAAAATCAGATACAAATAGTCACTTCCTAAATACATAATAGTTCACATTAGAAAAAGAAAACCAGAGAGAAGACTGGAGTCTGGGGTGACAGATTTACCATTTCCTTATGGAACTGTAGAAATCAAGATGTGAAGTTAGACTATTTCTAATGAATGGATACATTGACCAAAGTATATGAAGACCTGTTTGTGTTTCTTCAGGTAAATCACTCTAACAAATTCTTTCATTACTTCTTTGATTTCAGGAGAAATAAAAACTTACAGATGGAATGTCCCCAAAAGATCAGGTCCTGGGCCTTCTGATCCCAATTGTATTCCATGGGTCTACTATTCCACAGTAAACTTTGTGAAGGTAAGGAGGAGAGAGCACTACAGTATTCAGTGTCATGTGTCTGTGAGTCGACTGCTGACATCATTGCAGCTCTAGGGAGCATATGAAAAGGGGGTGGAATTTAGAGGTAGGGTCTCGAACTAGAGCCTACTGGCCAAATCTAGCCAGGCTAATTTATTAACATCATCTATGGTGTAACCGGGACTGGATGACCCAAAAAGTAAAAAGTATTTTCAATACAATGCTTTAATTTTTTTAGAGTTGTCTAGCCATTGATTTGAACTAAGGACGTTCAAACCAAAACCTCATTCAATTAACACATTTAGAAACTTACAAGATAATTTGAAGCAAAAGAAGACTGTGGATAGATGAGAAAAATGTTTCACAATATAATTTGTTCATGGTTTTGGATGTGGAAAATCTATTAATTTTAAAGGATTACCAGGGACACCAGGGATCAGGAAAAGAAAACATAGCAACTGAAATAACAAAACTATTTGAATGATAAATAGGCTAAGATATAAAAGGCAAAGATTCCACCCTGACAGAGTTAGGTACATGTATATAAAACAAGTGTAATTGTTAATTACCTGTCATAAACCAAAGTTCAAGTTAAAGTCATAGCTGATATGAAATGTAAACATTTCCCATTATTAAAAAAGTGAGGGATTAAGCCTGGTACCAGTGGCTCAGGCCTGCAATCCTAGTGACTTGAGATCTGAGGATTGCAGTTCAATCTGAGCGGGAAAGTCTGTGAGACTCTTGTCTCCAGTTAAGCACCCAAACAGCCAGAAGTAGAGCTATGCTTCAAGTAGTAGAGTGCTAGCCTTGAGCAAAAAAGTTAAGGGACAATCCCTAGGCCCTGAGTTCAAGCTCCAGTACTGGGGCACACACACACACACACACACACACACACACACACACACACACACACACAAGTGAGAGATCATTTTAACTCTGGTCTTAGGTATTAACTGACTTGAATTACTGTCCTAGACAGTACTAGAATTTAGGAGACAGATTTACAAGTGACTTGAAGAAATGAATTTACAAATGATAATTATGGGAAACTTAAACTTATATATTTACTCATTCATGCATTCCAACAAATGTTTAAGTACATCTGATATGCAAATTATGCCATTTAAAACTATGATAGATGCAAATATTCTTCTCTGGAAGAAACACATGACTGTGAGGAAAGTAGCACACGTCCATGCTTACAACTCTGACTTTGATGAATTGTATAGTGTCTAAGGTTTTATAGGAGGCTTTGGATAAGGCTGAAAATAGAAAAGTAGAAAGTACATTAAAACGCTTGTACCCATGTCTTGGGGTTCATTTCACTTAGCATCATCTTAGATGGTCATATGTATATAGCTTTTGAGTTTTTCTGCTCATTATTTGATAAGATTATCATAGATGTATACTAATTATTGTAAATGAGAGAAACCATGGGACCTATATTTCTTTGGGTCTGGCTTACTCACTTAGTATGATTTTTTTCCAAATCTTTCCATTTCCTAACAAAAAAACGTGGTGTCATTCTTTTTGATGGAAGCATTGAATTCCATTGTACATATATACCACATTCTCTTGATCCGTTCATCTACTGAGGGCATCTAGGTTGGTTTTATATCTTAGCCATGATGAATAATGCTATGATAAACATAGTTGTGCTGCTAGCTTTAGTATGGCCTTGTCTGTGATCATTTGGGTAAATGCCCAAAAGTGGGATTGCTGGGTTCTAAGGGAGCTCTCTACTGCTTTCCAGAGTGGTTGAACAAGTTTACACTCCCACCAACAGTGCAATAAGGTTCCTTTTGGCCACATCCTCTCCAGCATCTGTTGTTATTAGATCTCTTGATTATAGCCATTCTAACTGGGGTAAGGTAGAATCTCAACGTTGTTTTGATTTGCATTTCTTTTATGGCTAGAGAAGTTGACCATTTCTTCATGTGTCTATTGTCCATTCTTATTTCCTGTTCAGAGAAGTCTCTCTTTAAACCTTTAGCCCATTTATTAATATGATTTTCTTTTGTTTCTTTTGTATGTTCTTCCCCCTATGGTATATCCCCTGGTATCACTGTATATTTTATTTTGGTGCCCTGCATCTTGTATATACATTTATCTAATTTGGGGAGGGGAAGGGGAATAACAAAATGCTGAAACAAGGACACAATGAGATTCACTAGACACTATGTTGGAAATAAACTTTACAACTTTGGGGGAGGGGGAGAAATGGGGGAGGTGGGGAAGTAGGAGGAAAACAAAGGCAAGGGTAACAATAAAAAAATAAGAAAAGTAGAAAGTGTGTTTGGGAGGTATTCAAAGGCCTATTTAGCTATCATGTAGGATCCAATAAAAAAAAGTAGTAGGGAAACCTAAGTCAGAAACTTCATTGGGATTCATATGAATGGGCTTTAAGACCTGTCAAAGTTTTGTACTGTATTCGGTAGGCTGTGGACAGTCACTAAGACTCCTAGCTATGGGAGTGATGAGTCTAATCTAACAGTGGTCAATAGGATGAACTGATAGGCTGAACCAGAGACTACAGAGAAACGAGTTTCTAAATTCTAGTACTAGAATGGTGATAGATGGAATGAAATAAATTAAATATTTAATAACTTACGTATTTTAGCTTTATTTTTAAAATTATCTTTGAGTAGTGGTAGAAAGCTGATTGAATTCACCACGTCAGTTTGTGAGTACAATGTATCTTGATCAATGTCATCCCTTGCATTATTCTCCCCTGTTCCTCCCAACCCCACCCATGATCCAACTTTTTCTTTTTAAATTCCAGGATACATACAGTGGTTTAATGGGTCCTCTGATCACATGCCGAGAAGGAGTATTGAATGAAAAAGGAAGAAGAAGTGATGTTGATTATGAATTTGCTCTCTTGTTCTTGGTATTTAACGAGAATGAATCTTGGTATCTGGATGACAATATTAAGAAGTATCTCAATAAAGACCCACGAGATTTTAAGCACACCGATGATTTTGAAGAAAGCAACAAAATGCATGGTATCTCAGTGATTCTCATTGTTGGGCTAGGTCCATAGGAATTCCTAGCAATGTAGGCAACCCTTGGGTACTATAAGCTTTTCCCCTTTTCAAGGACCCTGAACTCAAGAAAGTTCTCTAAAGTTTCTCTTATTACATGAATCAGTCTAGCCATTGGTTGTCTGGCAGCAAAGTCACTGAGACTTTGGACCAGCTGTTTAGGGGCACCTAGCTCTGATAGATCTCTGCAGAGATCTTTAATTACTTTATCTATTATCTAAATAATTTTTAATAATTATTTTTTGCTATACTTATACATCTGCATCTCCATATTATATATCTATCTATATATTATATGCACATATTTGTATCATCTATCTATATTTATGTATATATATATGTATGTGTATATGCATGTACATGCTAGGAGTTGAATCAGGGCCTGGGTGTTGTCCTTTTTTTGTTGTTCAAGGAACAGGCCTATCATGTAAGATACAGTTCCTCTTCTGGCTTTTTGCTGTATAATAGGAAATAAGAGACTCACAGACTTTGTTGTCCAGGTTGGTTTTGAACATGGATCCTTAGATCTCAGTCTCCTGAGTAGCTGGGATTACAGGCTATAGTCATGAGTCACTGGTGCCCAGCTATTGATACGTTTTGTATGAATCAAGTAACTAATGCTTGATCAAATTTAAAAATTAAGTTTCAGGGGCTGGGAAGGTAGAGTGCTTGCCTTGCATGCATGAGGCCCTGGGTTCGATTCCTCAGCACCACCTAAGCAGAAAAAGCTGGAAGTGGCGCTATGGCTCAAGTGGTAGAGCACTAACCTTGAGCTGAAGAACTGAGGAACAGTGCCCAGGCCCAGAGTTTAGGTCCCATGACTGGCAAAAAAAAAAAAAAAAAAAAAAAAAAAAAAAAAAAAATATATATATATATATATATATATATATATATATTAGGTTTCATTCTCTTGAATATGAAAGACCACCAACTGAATTAAAAATTATCTCCTATTTGATTCTGGATAATTTAAGGAAGTTTGTCTTTATTTTGGAAGGAATAATGTGTTCAAATAGACATCTCCAGAATCTTTCACTAAAACTTGTGTGTGTGTGTGTGTGTGTGTGTGTGTGTGTGTGTGTGTCCACGCATGCCAATCCAGGAACTTAACTCAGAGCCTGGGTGCTCTCCCTGAGCTTTTTTGCTTAAGGCTAGTGCTCTACCACTTGAGCCACTTCTGGATTTTGAGTGGTTAATTGGGGATAAGAGTCTTACAGATTCTCTTGCCCAGGCTGGCTTTGAACCTTTATCCTCATGTCACATCCTCCCAAGTAGCTAAGATTATAGGCATGTGCCACCAGTTCCTGGCTTAAGACCTAGTTTTGAAGATGAGTCTTGTCCATGATCACAGAGCTAGCTGTTAATATAAATGAGAATACTGTGGCCTGGTTCCTCATTCAGTTATTCTTCTCTCTACTGGTTTTGCTATCCCCTCTTAAAAATTTTTTTTTGGGGGGGGGGGTCCAGTTGTGGGGCCTGAACTCTGGCCTGGGCACTGTCTCTCAGTTCTTCAGCTCAAGGCTAGCACTCTACCACTTGAGCCACAAAGCCACTTCTGGCTTTTTTTTCTTTTTGCTTATGTGGTGCTGAGGAATCAAACCCAGGGCCTCAGGCATGCAAGGCAAGCGCTCTACCACTGAGCCACCTTCCTAGCGCCCCCTCTTAAAACTTCTTAGTGTATTCTCTTTTGTAATGGGTTTCATCTATTTGGATGCATCACAATGCACAGAGTAAAGGGGGAGTAGAAGTGGAGGGATGAGTCACTATCATATAAAACCATCTTTCTTTGGTTCTGGTTAAGTTCTGGGTTCAGCCTGTGTAAAGATCTGTTTTTGGAGATTTTGAAAGTGAAACATTATGGAAATGGCTTATCATTCATTCAGTGTTGTTTGATATATACTGGATTCTTGGTGGCTTAGTTTACAAAGAATTCTACTGTCTACAGAATGGTATAAACTGGTTTCTAACCAATGAATCTGCAATCTGCTTTCCAAATAGGTTATGCAAAATAAAAAATAAACAGATTGCCAACCAACATTCAGCTTGTGATTTCTCCCTCTTAGCTCGTGTTGTACAAAGACTTCCTGGTAATCTGAATGTTGAACCTTGCATGGTGGGGTTATTGGTTAGTGGGAGTGAGATTGTTAACCATTTATCAGGTAAATAAAAATATTCGTGATTAAAAGACCTTGACTTGTCCATATGCTAGTGGTTCATACTTAACTACTCAGGAGGCCGAGTTGTGAGTATTGTACTTTGAAGCTTGTCTATGCAGAACAGTACTAGAGACTCTTATCTCCAATTAACCCCTGAAAAGCCAGAAGTGGAGCTGCGGCTCAAGTGATAGAGCACCAGCCTTGTGTGAGAAAGCTGAGGGACAGCGCCCAGGCCCTTAGTTCCCACCCCAGTACTGGTGCGCGCGCGCGCACACACACACACACACACACACACACACATATCTAGAACTATTTTGAAAATCGGATTTAGTAGTGTCTTCTCACTAACCAGAGGTTATTTTGTTTTCATCTTCTTAGCCATTAATGGAAAGATTTTTGGAAATCTCCATGGTCTCATAATGAATGAAGATACAATGACAAACTGGTATTTGTTAGGAATAGGAAGTGAAGTGGACATACACACCATCCATTACCATGCTGAGAGCTTTCTTTTCAAGGTGAGTGTAAGGAAAGTGCTTTGCAGGAAACTTTTTGAAGTACAGATTCAATGTATTTCCATTTGAGAAAGAAGAGATACTTAGAAATGATGCTCACAGGGGCCTTATAAGAGAGACTGACCAGAATAATGTGATTATACTCCTTTGCTGGCAGATATTTCTTTATGTATGTGTATATTATTTCTTATATACCTTCTCTGAACCTTGGATGAATTTTCTCATTAGTTTCATGTCCAGATCTTCTCTTTTTTTCCCTTTGCCCTTTCTTTCTCCTGTCTTTTCTTCGTGATTAGTTAACAGAATGGCTTTACTCCAGAAACAAGAAATGTTGACCTCTAACTTTCTCTTGACTTTTGCTCTGGAGACTTGGGCTAGACTGCCTGTGACCTTTTGCTCTCTGGCATTAAGTTGTACTTTAATGGATGGTGCTGGTGGTATAGTAGTATTACCTGGGAAGCTGATTGACAGGCCCCTCCCTGATCTGCTGAATGGATTTGCAAGGATAAAGTCCAAAGAATCTGTCCATCTCAATTTTTCAGTGCCATCTAAAGAAAGTAGAGAATAATAGTCATATGTAATCTGTGTGGAAAATAGAATCAAATATACAGGAATCGACAGAAATATATTCTGGTATCTAATATTCTTCACCCCACTATTCATTTCAAAGGACCATCACTTATTGACTATATTGGCTAATACAGTAATTAGACTTTCAAATATTAAATTGCTATCCTGCCTTTTTAGAAATTAGCCTTTTTAATATACATCTAAGAAATAAATTTAAAAGCTTATAAATGTTATAGAAACTAGCATATACAAGCTTTATGGTGAAGAAGACAGGAAAAACATGAGTTTGAAGCCAACACAAAGTTAGAAAGAAACCATATCAACAACAATAAAAAACTCTGAAGAAAAGGAGGTGCAGGTCAAAGAGTAGAGTGCTTAGGTTCCATGCTCAGTACTACAAAAGTATAAGAATATACAAGTTCAAATATGCATATATAAATGTTAACGTTAAGACTGTATAAAATAAACCATATTTATTGTATAATTCTGTTTTTCATAAACACAGACTTATTCATTAAATCAATACCAACCAAAATGATGCTCCCATCATACCCCTGTGTCACTTACCTGTCCACGCTTAGCATTTGGCAATCACTGATCTGCTCTCTCCCTCCCTGCTAGGATTTAAATATGGCCTCCAAAACTCAGGTGCTAGAGGCTGAATTTAGTGTCTTGCGTTGTTGTGTGGGTGTTCTCTTCTCCAGCTTTTTGCCATGGAACGGGTTGGTGAAAAGACCATCCTCAGGTACCAATCCCCTAATTTTGGACTCTCAGCTTTGAAAACAATAAGGGGAAAAAACCCTCTATTCTTTATAAATAACCCATTCTCAGACATTCTGTTATAACAGTACAAAACATATTAAAGTAATCTCTACAGTTTTGTCTTTTCTTTTCTTTTTTTTTTAAATTTTATTTTATTTTATTTGAGAACATACTGTACAGAGGGGTTACAATTACATGGGCAGGATAATGCATACATTTCTTACCAAGCATTGCAGCCTCCTCCTTTGTTTACCCTTCACCTCCCTTCCCAGCCTCCCCCCTCCCCCCCACCAGTTTTGTCTTTTCTGAATGTTACATAGAAATCACTACTTGCCAGGTCTTGAATTTGGCTCATTTCATTCAACATTGATCTTTGACTCCATCCTTCTTATATGAACAAGTAGTTTTTCCATGTGGTAGTTGGCAGTAGTCCAGTGTATAAAATAGTATGGTTCATTCATATATTTTCCATTAAAGAACATTTGAATTGTTTCCAGTGTTGGTTATTACAGTCAGTGTACATATTTGTGCATGCTTTTGTGTGAATATAAATGTTCACAGCCCTTCAGAAAATATGTAGGAATAGAATTGCTATACCAGATGGTAAATGTATGTTTAACATTTTAAAAATCAAGCCAGGTGCTGGTGGCTCATGCCTGTAATCCTAAATATTAAGGAGGCTGAGATCTGAGGATCACAGTTCAAATCCAGCAATGTACACAAGACTTTTATCTCCAGTAAACTAACAAAAAAAGCCAGAAGTGGAGCTGTGGCTCAAGTGATAGAGTGCCAGCCTTGAGCAAAAAAACCTACAAATCTCAGTACCGGCACAAAAAAAAAAAAAAAGAAAGAAAGAAAGAAAGAAAGAAAAAGGGTGGGGGGGGGGAGGAGGCAGGAAGGGGAGGGGGAGAAGGAGGAGGAGGAGGGAAGAGGAGGAGGCAGAGGAGGAGGAGGAGGAGGAGCATTCCCAACAGAAATATATGAGAACCTATATCTATATCTATATCTATTTCAGTACTTGGTAACTTTTGGTTTGCATTGTATTTTTTTCCTTAGCCATTTCTATAGCACATGTAGTGGTATCTTATTATTTATTTATATTTTTCTAATGGTTAATAGTATTGAGCATCTTTTCATGTGTTCCCATGAGTAAATCTTTCTTGGTAAAATAAATAAATTTATTCCCACTTTTTATTGCTTTTTAATTTTAACTTTAACTGATACATGAAAAAGAATATGTATGTGTGATATTCTACTCACATATGCATTGCATAATGTTCAAAGCAGAGATGACTATTTCCTCAAACATTTACCAATCTCACCCCTCCCCTTTTCTTTTTTTTTTTTTTGTGGCTATACTGGAGCTTGAACTCAGGGTCTAGGCATACTTCCTTAGCTTTTTGCTTGATGCTGACATGATGCTGACATGCTACCACTTGAGACACACCTCCACTTCTGGCTTTTTGCTGGTTAATTTGAAGTACTAGTCTCATGGACTTTCCTACTGGTGTTGGTGCCAAACTATGATCCTCAGATCTCAGCTTCTGAGTAGCTAGAATTAGAGTCATGGAAATTGATACCTGGCTTATTTACCCTTCCTCCCTCCATCCCTTCCTTTTCTTCCCTCCCTCCCTTCCTCCTTTCCTACCTTCCTTCCTTCTTTCCTCACTGTCTCTGTCTCTCTGTCTCTTTTTACTTTCTTTTCTTTCTCTCTTCCTCTCTCCTTCCTTCCTTCCTTCCTTCCTTCCTATCTACCTTCCTTCCTTCCTTCCTTCCTTCTTTCTTCACTGTCTCTGTCTCTTTTTACTTTCTTTTCTTTCTTTCTCTCTTCCTCTCTCTCTCTCCTTCCTTCCTTCCTTCCTACCTTCCTTCCTTCCTTCCTTCCTTCCTCTCTCTCTCTCTCTCTTTCCTTCTTCCTCTTCTCTCTTTCCTTCTTTCTTTCTTTCTCTCTCTCTTTCCTTCTTTCTTTCTTTCGTCATAGAGCTTGAACTCAGAGCCTGAGTACTGCCCCTGACCTTTTTCGTTCAAGGCTAGTGCTTTGAGCCACAGCGCCACTTCTGGTTTTCTGGTGGTTAATTGGAAATAATAGTCTCATGGACTTTCCTGCCAGGGCTGGCTTTGAACCAGGATCCTCATATCTCAGCCTCCTTACCATTTCTTAATGGTTAAGAAAAAAATTTTTAAAATCTTTTCTTCTAGCTTTCTTAAATATCCAGAACATTATTATCTAGAATCAACAATTGGGAAACACAAACACTACTTACTTGTAATTAATTATGACTTGCTACCCACTGATTAATTTTCCTCCATGCTTTTTTCCTCTTTACACTCCCAATCCCCTTCTACTCTGTGAGACCAACTTTTTCATATTCCACATATGAATGAAATCATGTTTCTCTGTGCCTGGCTTATTTCATATAATTATCTCTAGTTCCATTCATGAATATGAAATTCATGACAGGATTGCATCCTTTCTCATGGCAGAATAAGTTCCATTATGTAGATGTACTGGAATTTCCTTGTCATTTAGCAGTTCTTGGATATTTAGGTTGCTTCCATTTCTTGGCTATTGTGAGTAGTGCTGCAATAAATGTGAGGGTATAGGTGCCTCTTTGATATATTGACTCAATTTCCTTTGGCTCTCTAATTGTATGCATGGACCATATTGCCATTTTATTTTTAATTTTTTTGAGGAAATTCTACACAGTTTCCCAATGGAATCATCAGGAGCCAGATATTTCAATTTTATTGATCTGTTCAAACACCTAGTTTTGAATTTCTTTTATTTTTTCCCATTCTATCTTTGCTTTTATGTGTTTCTGCTTTACATTATTTCATTCCTTCTATGTATTGTGTGTTATTTTGTTCTTTCCCTGTGGTGAGCCACAAGTTGTATTTTTTTTCAATTATTGCAGATAGATAAATCTTACAGAGAAGATGTCTATGATCTCTTTCCTGGAACATTCCAAACCATTGAACTGTTTGCGGATCACCCAGGGACATGGCTACTGCACTGCCATGTGTCTGACCACATCCATGCTGGCATGGAGACAACTTACACAGTGCTCCGGAACATAGGTACTGTTGCCTGTCAGTGATGCTGGGGGATGGCACCCAGCTTCCTGTAGCTGTGGAAAACAGGAAGTATGAGAGAGAAAAAAACCCAAGGAGCTCAAATAAAAGAGAAAGATACACAAAAATGCAATCCAATGTAGTATGACATGTGCTATAATGGAATGGAGAAAACAGGGTTCTGTGGCAGGAGGAGGAGGGAGGACATGGTTAACATTTTAGAGAGAGGAACCAAGGTTTCAAAGTCTATGAAGCTCAGGACAGCGACGCTCAGTGAGTGAGCAGAAGCTAGCAAAGTGGAGGGGTAGCAATGCATATGCAGTGGCATGAAGTAGACCAGTGAGAAAGATGGCAGATGCCTATGGGGCAAAATCACTGCTGTGTTTATAAAACAACAAATTTAACTTTTACTTTCCTGTTTGCCCAGACAACAGAATTCCATACTCCACTAAGGCTCCTGGAGGAGCCCACCCAGCCACAGTGCCCTCCAATGGTAATGAAATGTGTGCAAATGCTTCAGTGTTCCCCTCCTGAAAGAGAGGCAGGTGTCTGATGTTTCCCTTTCCTTTTTCACAGAACAACCTGGCAGTGAGGGGCTCTATTTCTTTGGCAAGAATCTGGGTCCAAGAGGTGCCAAGGCAGCCTTGGTCATCCTTTTCATCATGGGACTTCTTCTCCTGGTTGCTACCATCATTCTCCTCCTCAGACTCCGTTCTGCGAGGAGGCAGATGGCTTACCGCGAAGTCCAGTCTTGTGCACTGCCCACCGATGCCCTGTGACCCATCTGGTTTACCTCTGCAAGGAGTGAGTCTCCTTCGCTGGTTCGACAGCAGCCATGGGCAAACCAGACAGTGGCATCAATCACCAAGGAAGGCTGACACTGTGCTCTGAGTCAGGGTTCTGATCCTCTGGAACATCATCCGAAGCAATTTGCTTTTATTTATTTATTTTTAATGGGCTGTGAATAATCCTCAGGTACAAAGTATACAGGAAAAGAAGGCACAGGCCTGAGATGCCTACTCTTACTCTGTTCTCTCAATGAATTTGCTTAAGTGGAGATCCTCTGAAAAATGTCTTCATACTCAATGTTTTGTAACTTTCTTTCTTTCATGCCAATACTGAGGCTTAAATTTGGGGCCTACTACCCTTTGGCTTTTTACTGAGGCTAGTGCTCTACCACTTGAGTGAGCCACACTTCTACTTTCAGCCTTGCTTGTTAATTGGGGATAAGAGTCTCATGGATTTGTCCCCTCAGGCTGACTTCCAACCTCTATCCTCAGATCTCAATTTCCTAAGTAGCTATGATTGCAGGCATGAGTCACTGGTGCCAGGTTTTTTATGTTTTTTGTTTTGTTTTAATAACTTTTAGATTAAACGCTTTTCTAGCTAGTTGTTTCCAGATGGACATTTTAGTTATAGTGCCTCAGACATTTATCTAACTAATAGCATTGATTGTCAACACTGTTATATAAAGATTTCCCTCATTTTTCTAGGGAAAATAAGTTTCTGAGGAGTTCACTGAAAAGTCTAATTCAACATCTATTGGCTGATAGATCTAACCAAATGAAAATTTTGGAGGCTTTATCCACTTACTCTGGCCTATTCTTCTTACCTAAAATAGCCTGTGCACAGTTAGTTATACAAGACAAAGTAATAGTTTTTTTTTTAAATTAAATTGCTGCTGTTTTTATTCAAACCTGTAGAAATACTTGAATGTTTACAATTCACTTCATGTTACATGTTTTTATAACATATTTTTCGGCAATGTCTGTGTTTTCAAATATCAACTAGAGAATTCATATTTCTGTTTCAGACTGTGGGAAGTAGAATCTGTGAAGGAGAGGGCTTGGTTTCCCTACTGAGTCAGGCTCCTTGGGAGTTTACTTGACCTCTCAGGGCTGTCAGTAATGGTTGGAACTTCAAGTCTGGGCTTGAATTTTGAGTCTGAATTTTCATTGAATTAGGGAGCATCTTTCTAGGTCTCCATTTCCTACAAAATAATAAGTCTTTTAATGTGAGGAACAGAAGGAGAAACCTATCCATACAGTTGGAAGAAGAGATCTTTCAAAATCCTAATTTCATGCTTCTGAGAAAGACATAGCTCTGGAAGGGAAAAGGAAAAGGAAAAGGAAAGTATAGGCTAGAAAAAGAGGCTCAGGCTGGGAAGGTGGCTCAGTGGTAGAGTGCTTGCCTTGCATGCATGAGGCCCTGGGTTTGATTCCTCAGCACCACATAAGCAAAAAGAAAAAAGCCGGAAGTGGCGCTGTGGCTCAAGTGGTAGAGCGCTAGCCTTGAGCTGAAGAGCTGAGGGACAGCGCCCAGGCCCAGAGTTCAGGCCCCACGACCGGACCCAAAAAAAAAAAAAAAAGAAAAAGAAAAAGAGGCTCAGCGATATATTTTTTTAAACCATTACATCCAGATAAGCATTGCAGTTTCTAAGCTTTGCATATGAAAGAAAATTACAGAACAACTAAACACAACCCACCAGAAGGCAATGTACTCTCTTTGTAGGCATGTAGACTTTACTACAGACTGATAAAAGCAACATTGTTTATCATTAGGCTTGAGAACTGCCTTCAGCTCAGGGAAGTTGCTTAGGCTGCTGATGCCAGATGAGTGTGCTTTTAGCCTTAGCATGGATCATTTGAATGTCCAAGTGAGTAAGTCAGACCTAGTAAGTACTGTGGTGGAGGGATCTTCCATACTTTTCATCTTCTTAGTGAGGGGAAATGGGTATTGATAGAAACAAATACTACTAGTTTTGTTTGTAACTGGGTGTTGGATCAAACAGGATACTCAAAAGATTTTAAATTCCGTCCTGCTAACCACTGACAATGTGATGTTGTAGGATGTGTTCTATGTTGTCCATTCATGTGTAGGCTGTCATTTCTTAATAATAATTATAGTAAATGCCTTATTTATTACTCACTTTTAGTAAGACAACAAAGTATTTAGTTGTAAGTTTTTTTTCTTTTTCATTTAGTTTATTTTTTTAATGCAAACAAACCAATAAAGTAGTTTCACTGCATCAGATCTCTTTTTAATAAAGTTTCACATATTATAAAATGGCTATTTGCATGGTTTAAAAAATTGTCATGAATATTTTTAAATTTTATTTTTATTATCTTTAAGTAGTTGCACGAAGGGATTACCATTCAATATGTCAGTTTGAGTCAATGCATCTTGATAATTATCACCCCTTCCATCATTCTCCCCATCTCTCCCAACCCCACATATTCCCTCAATTTTCCTAGCTTTGTAGAATATGTATTCAATATTATGACTGCATTCTCTTAGTGATTTTTTTTTCTTTCTCAAAATTACCTATCATTAAACAAGAAGAAGGGGAGGGGAGGAGTAGTAAGAAGAGAAGTGTCCTTCAAGTATTTAGTCCATACTATGGCAGTTACACATCTCCCCAGATCACAACTCTCCAAACTTATCTTCTCAGATAGACCATTCCCTTTAATCTCCAACTCACTGGGATGAATCAGCCTTCTCTTTATTTACTCCAGTCTCTCCACTTGGGCCTAGAACTCATCTCTTCCGACTTTCTCAGACTTAATTTTCTTTTTTACAGATTAATCTTATCAATCATTGTTACCACCTCCTTTGTTTTTCCCCTATCATTCCTTCCCTCCCCACCTCTCCAACTCCCCCCTCCCCCAGTTGCAAAATTCATTTTCAACATAGTGTCTTGTATATCTCATTATTACAATGGGTCAACCTGTATCATTGTTTCAGCATGTTATTTCTCTTCCCCTCCCCAAAATAGAAAAATGTATATATAAGATGCAGGGCATCTTGTATATATATACAGTGAAAACAGGGGTTATACCATGGGGGACGAACATATAAAAGAAACAAAAACCTCCACATAGTACATTAACAGCAACAGTGACAAAGATAAAACCTCTTGTGTCCCTATCTTGGGGTTCATTGATTTTCTCCACTATCAGTTTTTCCTTTTGCATTATTCTATGAAATCATCAGCTGTGTTGCCTGTTAAAAATGGACAGCAAAGCAAGAGCTGTCTGCCTTATCTCCATATCTCTGAAACAGTGTCTTTCCTCCATTAATAGCAGAAAGAGTTGTCTACACACTACGGCCTGTTCCACCGGTTCTGCATATCATGAGGAAAGCCTCAGACATTTCTCAGCCCAGGCCACTGACTCCCAGTAGGCATGCCCAGGCCCCACATCACAACTCCTGTTGTCAAGATGACCAACCATCATATGCCCTTTTCAGTGGCTTCTCTAACCTTCTCTTACCCAACTTCTCAGCAAAAAGCGTTAGTGCCTTCTTCTGGACAACTCTTCTGGCCCCCTGGCTCTGCAGCATGATTTCCTGTCAGCCTTCCTTCCTTCTTCCTTAATTTGCTTCTTTGCAATACCTTTTGCTAAGCACTCTCCTCTGACTTCAATGTTAGCATTTGTCAAAATTTGATATGGGACCCTTTTCATTACTTTACTTTTCAATATTTAACTTAAGAATGTTCCCAATGATTCCATATCTGAATCCCTGAGCCTGTGGCATTATATTATATTGTAAAAGAGACATTGTGGGTATGATTATTTTAAGGATCTGGTGATGGAGAATTTATCTTGGATTATTCAGCTTGGTCTTAAATTTAATCACAAGTGTCCTTATGAAAGAGAGGCAGATGGAAATTTGACTACAGAAGAAGAGGCAGAAGCAAGACAGGGGAAGAGGCCACAAGGAACACACAGCTTGAGAAAGCAGAAAAGACCGGGGAACTGAGATTCCCTTCTTGAGTATTATCCAGAGAGAGTTTGATACTGCTAACACTTTGAAACTAATTTCAGACTTCAGAGTTCCAAAACTATAAGAGAATAGACGTGTGCTGCCAAGTGTTTCAGCCCTCTCTCTCCATAGTTAATTTCACCCATCTGCAAAGCTTTGAAACACATATTTATGCTACTTGAGTCAGAAATGTAAGCTAATTAAGTCAGCAATACATTTCTCTAACCCTACAGGTCTCATCTGCTCGAAAGAGTGCCCTGCAGTAGTCTTCTGGACTTCTGCATTCCTCTGTCATGCCTGCCCTTTCCACACATCCCTGTAGTATTCTTCCAAATATGACCATATCACTTTTTCTAGTTAAACGCGTTAATGTGTTTCCACAAACTATTAATAGCCCCTAGAGTTTTTACCTTGGCTATAAGGCCCAGTCTAACTTGGCCACTGCCTTGTCTAATTTCTTGGATTCTCTTCTGCTTGAGCTTTTATCAGTTCCTATATCTTTGTAGATCTTTCTTGTCTGAAAGCCTTTGTACATGCTCCTTGCTCTTCCCCTTCACCCTCTTCAACATCCAGATTCCATCCTACTTTATGAGCTCCTTAGATTACCTTCTCTAAAATGAGTCTCTTCTATTATCTCCCATCTCTACTGATTTCCTTTGTAGCACTTATCGTAAGAAAAAACAATTCTATGTTTATTAGTTTGACTTTTGTCTGCCTCCGCCTGGAATATATAAGGTCCATAAAGTAATGACCCAAGCTTGGCTCACTTATGCATCTGTAGCAAAATGATAGCAAAATTACATACCAGTTGCTCAGCAAATACATCCCATCATTACTATTTTGACTTTATTTGGTTGAAAAAATTATTTTTATTGTGAAAATACCATACAGAGGGGTTACAATTACATGGGCAAGGTAATGAGTACATTTCTTATCAAGCATTGTTGCCTCCTCCTTTGTTTTGAAAATTTTATTATATTCAAATGCCAAGTACCTTAAACAAACAAACTAGAATTATGGGAGAGGCTGTGACCTCCTCCTAACAAATGACACTGTGGCAATGGTTAAGGGAAGGGCAGACTTGAGAGGAGAGTGTGTAATTTAATCCCTAAATGTATCTTACAATTATGAAATGCATCTTCTCATTATAAAAAGCGATGTTATCATCAAAAGCAAAGTCTGAGAAGTTGTTATGGCCAAGACTGATAACTAAACATATCATACTATCCTACTTGGGATCCTGGAGCAGAAGAATATGCATATATGAATATATAAAAGAAATGTGAATCAACCAAAACCCTTCTTTAAAGTATTAATAACAGTTTGCTAATTGTCACAATACATTTTGTAGGATAGAAGTAATAAAAGTACATGGGTGTGAGTGGAGTATCCAGGAACTCTGAACCATTGGCTTACTTTTTCTGTAAGTCTAAAAGTGATCTAAAATGAAAACTAAAGTAAGATCTAAAAATTCATCTATTTTTCTTAAAAGAAGCAATGTTAGCTACTCTTTCACTTGATGTATAAAATTCCTGAGGTTGTTCATGATAGCTATGAAACATTAAATGTCTGTGTTTCAGCAGACATTATAAAATGTTATCCTATCTAGCTCTTTGATGTAGAGGGTATTAGCCCTATTCAGTAATGGAAAAAACTGAGGTGTTGAGATTGTTAGTGACCTATCCCTGGTCGCACAGTAAATATGTTGCAAATTCAGGAGTGGAGGCTGACTTTTGTCTTTGTTCCCTCTGAAAGAACATCAGTCTGCCTCAGGTGGCTTAGTTTAGTTTTTGCAGTTGGAAAGATAGCACTTTTATTATCCCTTAGATGCTACTTTTTCTTTTTCGCGTGCGTGCAAGCTTGAACTCAGGATCTTAGTGCTGTTCCTGAGCTATTTTCCTCAAGCCTAAAGCTACTAGTGTACAACAGCTCCACTCTTGCTGGGTAATTGCAGATAAGAATCTGGCTGGTGTTGCAGGGCAATCCTCTAATCTCAGCTGCCAGAGTAGCTAGGATTATAGACAGTGGTTCTCAGCTTTAGATAGCTTTGAAAGTCTTCAACTTAGACCATAAAAATTTACCTTTTTTCTTTTAAAATTATCACAAACATGAATGCTGTTACTTCTTTTTTTTTCAGCCCCAGATTTTATTATATTCCTTATTTGGGACACAAACTATACAAACACACCAACACTTGGTTTGCCTGCCCGCGTGCGTTCTTTATGTGGATTAGACAAAGCTGATCTTTCTCCAGCAGGTCCCAAGGCCTGTGGCACCCCTGGGAGCTCTCAGAGGGACACCTGTGGCTCAGCTGGTGCCACTTATTTCTACCCTAAAGCCACAGTACCGCCCTTTCTGCCTCTTCCCCCACCGCTTTCACAGTACGGCACTGGCTGATCCTCGAAGCATTTAAGAAACGACCTTCCTTCCGCCGCACGGCTTTCTCAGCGTTGGGCTGGGTGGAGGCTGCGCGCCGCAGTCGGCAGGTGCCCGGGGCGCTAGGGTCCCCGCGGAGCACCGCGCGCCGGGCAGCGAGGAGGCGCGCACGACAGCCCCGCGCACCCTGGCGGCGTGGCTCGCAGCGGGGAGACGGAAGATCCCGGTGCGGGGAAGAGTTGCAGACGCGGGGGGGAGGAGAATCTTCGGGAACGCCCCTCTTGCGGGGCGGGCTCGGGGTCTCGGCAGCCGCGCCCACCCCGCGGGCCGTCCGCGCGCTTCCGGAAGCTCGGCGCCGTGAGCCCCGGTTTCCCGCGGTGGTGCCGGAAGAGCGCTTCGCGGCTCGGGGCACCGGCGGGGCTGGGGACCGCGCGCGGGGACCCGGGGTCGCGCCCTGCTCGGGGGGCTTTTCGCGCCTGCCCGCGTGCAGAGCAGCCCAAAGGCCGGTCCGCGGAGCGCGCGGGGAGGGTATCGTCCCCGCCCAGCTCCGGCCCGGTCTGGCCGCGGAGCGCGTGAGCGCGCGCTCGCCGGGGCTCTGCCCGCCGCCAGGTCCCGGCCCAGCCCGCGCGGCTGCCGGGCTCCCCGGACGCCGAGACAAAGGGCCGCGGGATGCGCGGGCGGCTGAGGAGCGGAGCGAGCGAGAGCCACGGCCGCGCGCGGGGCCCGTGACGCGGCGGAGGCAGCGCGGCCCCCAGCACCGCGGAGGCACGGCCCGTGCTAGCGGGCCTGCCCTGGCCAGCCCCGGAGCGCAGTCGCCATGGCCATCGCCCACCTGGCCACGGAATACGTCTTCTCAGATTTCCTGCTGAAGGAGCCCACGGAGCCCAAGTTCAAGGGGCTCCGCCTGGAGTTGGCGGTGGACAAGATGGTCACCTGCATCGCGGTGGGGCTGCCCCTGCTGCTCATCTCGCTGGCCTTCGCGCAGGAGATCTCCATCGGTGAGGCGCAGGGCGCGGGCGGCCGGGCCGGGTTTGCAGCCCTAGAGGCCGGTGAGATGCGGTTGTGCTGGGGCACGCCCCCCCCCCCCCCCCCCCCCCCCCCCGCCTCACTCGGAACCGCAGTGGGCTCGAAGGCGGGGAAGGAAGGTGGCCCATTTGTTTATGGGCTGAAGTCTTTGTCCACAGCATCTTGTGTCCCCTTCGACCCTACTGCCCTGTTCCTCAGCCCTTTTGTGCTCTGGGCCCCACTGATCACACTGTCACAGGTCCTACCCCAATCACTTGAATGGCTATCTTGCGCCAAGTTCCCTCCGTCCCCTCCCCACCAGTGTCGGTGCCAGAAAAGTTGGGGTGGCTGAGTGGAGGATGTGAAGAAAGCGCTCCTTAAGAAGTATGTTCTCCTGTTGCTATTTTACATCCAATCGATACTGACTTTAGTTCACAAGGATTGTGAGTGATGGGAAAGACTCCACTTGTTGGGTATTAGATCCTCTACTTAAACAGCCCTATTAGAATTAAAGATATACAAACCTCTTCACATACATTCCCATTTCTGGGAGATTTAAGTCTGAGATTTAGCCTCACAGATTCAAAAATCCTTTTCATGTAAATTCCCAATTTCTGAGAGCCTGTGACTCGTACCTTCATCCTAGCTACCCAGAAGGCTGAGATCAGCTCAGGTAGGAAAGTCTGTGAGATCTCATCTCCAGTTAAGCACCACAGTCTGGATATAGAGCTGTATCCAGTGGTAGAGCTCCCTCCAGCCTTGAGCGAGTAAGCTAAGGGACAGTGTCCAGCCCCTGAGTTCAAGACCCAGTACTGGCATGCACACACAGGTTTGTGAAATTAAAAGTTAGATGGGTTGGGCAAGATCATGGGGCTCAGTGGCTGGTTCTATTTAACAGATGTCCTGACTTTCAGTACAGGAGAGAGTGAATGGATTAATAGGAAGATGGTGTGGGGAAAGTGTGTGGCTTAGGACAGAGGATTGGGTGGAGTTTTGATAGGCAGAGAAAGGTCATTTGCTGAGAGTTTGATATGGCAGAGAATGTTCCTTGTTCCCAGAAGGGAAGACACAGGGAGTGTCCTAGCCAAGGGTTTCTGGGATCCTGAAGCAAATGTGGGCCTGCATCAGATTACAACAGACTAGATGGACAGTCCCAGGAGTGCAAAGTGATTGATTGAGTAGAGGACAGACTGGTTGTTAACAGCACTTAGAAATAAGTTGGATAAGGCTGGGCGTTGGTGACTCACGCCTGTAATCCTAGCTACTCAGGAGGCTGAGATCTGAGGATCACAGTTCAAAGCCAGCCTGGGCAGGAAAGTCGGTGAGACTCTTTATGTCCATTAAACCACTAGGAAACTGGAAGTGGTGCTGTGGCTCAAGTGGTAGAGTGCTAGCCTTGAGCTGAAGAGCTCAGGGACAGCGTCCAAGCCCAGAGTTCAAGCCCCATGACCGACCCAAAAAAAAAAAAAGTTGGATGGTGGTTTGCAGAATCTAGATGTGAAGGAAGGAAGATGGTATGGCTAGGCAGAGTGCATGCCATGGTGGAGGTCATCAGTTGAGATCTGCACAGATGGTGCAGAGAGGAAGGAGAGGAAAGGGTATCTCTGAGAAACCAAGCAGTGATAAGAAGCACTTGACTCCTTGAGTTGTAATCAGACTGTAAAAAGGAAAGATTGGTTGAACTTGTTAAAAAGTTATAGATTGGGAAGAATAGATATTAAGGAAAATAGCAAAGTCAAAGGAACAAATGGATGAGATGAGTTTTGTGTTCTGCAGCACTCAGGGTTGAGTTTGGCAGGAAGTTGTCAGGTTTAACTGCAGAAAGTAATTTCAGTTTCCCTAGTCTTTGCCCAGGCATAGTCATATGCATTTCCTTTTGCTTTCTGGATGGATGACAGGGAGTTGTGGCCTCCGGCTGAAAGGGAAACCAAGTTGCATGGGTCTTAGAGATAATTTCTTGCTTCAGCAACCACTTCTTGAGTACCAGCTATATATTGAACCATGCCAGGCAACAAGGACCTAAGAATAAAGGCACCTCATTTGGAGAGTGGACACTTATTTGGGGCAGAGGACTAGGAGAGAAGAGTTGATTACTCTCTCCAGGACTAAAGCCCACTTTTAGTCCATTCCTAAGCCACCTGCATCACTATTGCCTTAGATAGGTCCAGATTGTGGGGTTGTCCAAAAGGTATTTTTTGGAGGGTGGGTTTATCCAACAAGAGGTTTATCCAGCACTGCTGAGGAGGGTGTGGAAGTATTTTGAATCATGGTCGTCTTCTTTGTCCAGCAGGACTGTGCTACTTACCCAGACACTAGCAGGGAACTGCTAGTAGGTAGCATCTTTCAGCAGTCTGTGACTCAGTCAGGTGCTGTGCTCCAAGGGCCAGGATGGTGAAGCTTAGCAGGCACTTGGATGAAGCATGGTCAAGGAAGTTCCCACCTTTGAAGTGTTTCAGGAGTGCCACAGCAGGAGGCCAGGCATGTGAAATGAAGCCTAGGACCAGGAGAGACCAGCCAGATTATTCAACCTACACAACATGTTTAGATACATATAAAACATAAATTTGGATAAAACCAGAGGGATCTGCAGAAGTATATATGTAAATACATGGAGTTTGTACCTGGGATCTTATCATACAACATTTAAATTTGTTCAGCAATAGAGTTGGGTGTCCTCAGACCAGAAAAAACAACAACAGCAGCAAAAAAAGCGAGAGAATCATAACAACAAAGAGGAGGTGGAGTAATTTAAATGGAGCGTGTGACAGTGCTGCATCCTTCCTCTTCTGATAATAGTACCTAGTCTCCAGAGGGGACAGTCATTATGGTCATCTTTTGCACATTTGTTATGGCCTATTCATGTGTTTGCCTCACGTACAAGATACTAAATCTTTTATTGATCCCTAGAGGCTGAAATCTTGCATGGCCATTTGGTGAGTAGATGACATGTGTGATTTTGGTGTCTTGAGATGCATATTAATGAGCCAGATGGGCATAGCACGTGTGAGATACAGAATCTGCCCCTTGGAAACACAGTCCAGTGGAGAAGTTGGACACAACCTTAATAATCTAAGAGTCATGGGATCTGGACAGCATCAGCGGTTTAAAATATAGTTGTAGTGGGAAGGGGTAGAAGGAGGGGTTTCTTCTGAATCATAGGAACAACCGGAGGTGTTGAGAACAAAGTTTGATTTGAGCCCTGGGTTCAAATTCCAAGGTTATAAAGCAGAGTGAGATGAAGTAGAGAGGTGAGACACAGTTTGAATGTCATGGAAATGTGTGAGTTGCAGTTGGTATACAAGGGGATACAGGTGCTTCTACTGTTTTCCTATTTGCATTGAGGTACATGCATTCAGTTAGACGTAGGAAATCACCATGGATCATCACACATGTCAATTTTCCTTTTTTCTGTTTGGACTGATGAACTAATGTATATAAAAGTTGACTAATTGTTATTAAAATCACCACAGGGCCTTAGGTCCCTTCACCTATATATACAGTAGCTTACAAGTATAAGTCCTTGTGTGGTGGGTGCTGGTGTGGAACTGTGTGGGCTGGTAAAGATTGTGGTGGAGGGCTGGGAATATAGCACAATTGTAAAATGCCTAATGAACAAAAGTTTAAAAACAAACAAGTGATGGGGACCAAGAGCAGAGTACCCTGCCTTTCTCCCTCATCAGATCTTGCTCTGCCCACAAGTGATGTGACCAGAAGTTAGGCTTGGCTTGGTCATCAAGGTGGAGGGCAGCTCTGGGATCTTTTGCAGCAGCCCTCATGTTCCTTATCATTCTCCCTAGTCACATCTTCCCTGTGGAAAGTGCTCAGTAGAAACTTGGTGAAGGAAGTGCTGGGACCCAGTAGAATCCTCTCCTGGGTCCTCTCTGGCCAGACACTGCCCTGAGAAAACAAATATATCAGGTATGGGTCCCAGTTGCTTGAAGTTTTTCTCCTAAATGCCATTTAGTAAAAATTAGTGCTGTTCTGTCAGGGCAGCTGGACTTCCTCACAGATTGCCTCTGATAAAAGTCATAAGGGATATCCGTTACTGGGGCTTGATCTAAGGACCTGTACATCACCCCTGAGGTTGTTTTGCTCAAGGCTCACACTGTACCTTGTATCCACAGCTCCATTTTGAGTTTTTGATGTTTAATTAGAGATAAGAGTTTTATGGATTTTCCTGCGTGAGCTGGATTCAGACTGGGATCCTCAGCTCTCCACATCCACAGAGTAGCTAGGATTGCAGATGTGAGACGCTGGCTCCCTGCTTCCTTAGATAGTACTTGTGTGGTATAGATAGTACTTTTGTGGTAAAAAGGAATCTGTGTTCAGATCCCCGCCAAGGCTGTACTGTGGGAGGATGAGAGATGTCATTATCTGTGGGTCAGATATCACACGTCCTCACTGTCATGAAGGCAGGAGAAAGTACAGCTCTATACCACACAAGGCCCTGTATTCCTAACACGTCTGTTCCTATAGAGGTGCAGAGAAGTTCAGGAAAGAGCGAGATGATGACTTACTGTAGAATACAAGCTCTACATGGAGTCTCATGGACTTCTCTGTTTTAACCATCATCCATCCGCAGCCTCAGCCCCTGATGTCCAACTTAAGACAAAACTTTAAGTAGACTAGACACTGAATAGAATTCATATTCTTAGGGTGTTTTTCTTTTGTTTATTTTTGGTTTTGATGGTACCCTAGACTTAGGACTATGATAGGTCCAGTCCTTTGATTTTTGGGTACCATAGCCTGGCTTATACCTTCAGGAGAAAAACAACCCAGGCTCTTGCTAGGATGTTTCTTGTACCAGCATAGCCTCATTTCTGGGCACAGACAGATAGGGTCCTTAGGAATTCCGCCGTGCTCTTGTGCTGTCTTTTCGGGCAGGCATTCGGCCAGCCCCAGTGAGTCAGACGGAAGATACCGTGGCTGCCACTTAAAGAATCCTTGCTTACAGTTTCTCTTCTGTACTTCCTGTAACTGTGGCTGGAGTCAT